TTTATTTCTAAATTAGGTTTAAGTTGATTCTTTAATTGTAACGCCGCCTAACTAATAAAAAGTTAGGCGGCGTTATAACTATAAAAAAATATTATTATACATCTTTCCAATATTTTGCTAGTATCAGTGCAAGGACGTGTAGCTTAGTTGGATAGAGTATCTGGCTACGAACTAGAAGGTCGGGGGTTCGAATCCCTCCTCGTCCGATTTTATTCTTGATCAACTTACGAAAGATTAACCCTTTTTTGAGAGACTCATTGATACCAGGTCGAATTTTTCGACCTGGTTTTTTTTATTTGTGGTCCGGAAAGAGGCAGACATCGTGGGCTGGTCTGGGCTCAATTGTATACTCATACTCAGAAGCATTCAATTTGAATGAGATTCAAAAACACATCATGGAGAGTTTGATCCTGGCTCAGAAGGAACGCTGGCAGCGTGCATAACACATGCAAGTCGAACGTGAGTATTCTTGCTTGCAAGAATATGAAAGTGGCGAACGGGTGAGTAACACGTAAGAATCTACCTTTAGGACGGGGATAACTTCTGGAAACGGATGCTAATACCCGATATGCTGTGGAGTGAAAGGAATTTCGCCTAAAGATGATCTTGCGTCTGATTAGCTAGATAGGATGGTAACTGCACACTATGGCGACGATCAGTAGCTGGTCTGAGAGGATGGACAGCCACATTGGCACTGAGACACGGGCCAAACTCCTACGGGAGGCAGCAGTGGGGAATTTTCCGCAATGGGCGAAAGCCTGACGGAGCGACGCTGCGTGAAGGATGACGGCCTGCGGGTTGTAAACTTCTTTTCTCGAAGAAGAATCAATGACGGTATTCGAGGAATAAGCATCGGCTAACTCTGTGCCAGCAGCCGCGGTAAGACAGAGGATGCAAGTGTTATTCGGATTGATTGGGCGTAAAGCGTCTGTAGGCGGTTTGGAAAGTCTTTTGTGAAATTCTTCGGCTCAACCGGGGGTCCGCAAAAGAAACTTCCATGCTTGAGGGAAGTAGAGGTACAGGGAATTTCCGGTGGAGCGGTGAAATGCGTAGATATCGGAAGGAACACCAATATGGCGAAGGCACTGTACTGGGCTTTACCTGACGCTAAGAGACGAAAGCTAAAGGAGTGATTAGGATTAGATACCCTAGTAATTTTAGCCGTAAACGATGGAAACTCACTGCCGAGCCGGTATTCGGAGCGGTGGTCAAGCTAACGCGTGAAGTTTCCCGCCTGGGGATTACGCATGCAAATGTGAAACTCAAAGGAATTGACGGGGACCCGCACAAGCGGTGGAGTATGTGGTTTAATTCGATGCAACGCGAAAAACCTTACCAAGGTTTGAAATCATTCTAAAACTCTTTGAAAGAAGAGCCTCCTTCGGGATAGAATGACAGGTGGTGCATGGCTGTCGTCAGCTCGTGTTGTGAAATGTCAAGTTAAGTCTTGTAACGAGCGCAACCCATGTCTTTTGTTGCTGTTTTACAGTGCTTAAAAGAGACTGCCGCTATACAGCGGAGGAAGGTGTGGATGATGTCAAGTCAGCATGCCCCTTATATCTTGGGCTACACACGTACTACAATGGTAGGGACAATGAGTCGCAAACCTGTGAAGGCTAGCCAATCTCAAAAACCCTATCTCAGTTCGGATTGTACTCTGCAACTCGAGTACATGAAGGTGGAATCGCTAGTAATCGCTGGTCAGCATACAGCGGTGAATACGTTCCCGGGTCTTGTACACACTGCCCGTCACACCATGGAAGTCGATCCTTCCCTAAGTCGTTACTCGAACCTTTATGGACGAGGATGCCGAAGGCAGGGTTGGTGACTAGGGTGAAGTCGTAACAAGGTAGCCGTACTGGAAGGTGTGGCTGGAATACCTCCTTTTAATGAGATCTTGAGAGTAGAGATGCTCTCAAAAAAGACCAAGCCGGAAGCGGCGCGTAATTGCCGCTGGCTACGGGCTATTAGCTCAGGTGGTTAGAGCGCACCCCTGATAAGGGTGAGGTCTCAGGTTCAAGTCCTGAATAGCCCATGGCACGGGGGTATAGCTCAGTTGGTAGAGCGCTGCCTTTGCAAGGCAGACGTCAGCGGTTCGAGTCCGCTTACCTCCAGCCAAACTCCTTTTCGAAGGACTGAATTGTGGAACCTTTTATTTAAAACAAAATCAATCAACAAAGAGTATATGGTGGAGATCTAGGGACCTAGAGCCGATGAAGGGCGTGATAACCGACGATATGCTTCGGGGAGCAGGACGTATGCTTTGATCCGAAGATTCCCGAATAGGGCAACCTAAAACATTCCTTCTTGAATTCATAGAGAAGAGAAAGACAACCCAGTGAACTGAAACATCTTAGTAGCTGGAGGAAAAGAAAGCAAAAGCGATTCCCAAAGTAGCGGCGAGCGAAATGGGACCAGTCTAAAAGAAAAATTTATTTTTCTGGTTATAGGACCAAACACAAAGGTATAGAAATTGATGAGAAACGAAGCAGCTGAATCCTGCGCCATAGATGGTGAAAGCCCAGTCGTTGAACCTTCACTCAATGCCGTTTGGCTCCCAAGTAGTATGGGGCACGTGAAATCCCGTATGAATTCGCCAGGACCACCTGGTAAGACTAAATACTCCTAGGTCACCGATAGCGAAAAGTACCGCGAGGGAAAGATGAAAAGAACCCCTATTCGGGGAGTGAAATAGAACATGAAACCGTATACTTACAATTGGTAGGAGGATGAACACATCTGACTGCATGCCTGTTGAAGAATGATCTGGCGACTTACGGTAAGTGGCATGGTTAAGATTTTTCATCGAAGCCAAAGCGAAAGCATGTCTGAATAGGGCACTCGTCCCTTATCGTAGACCCGAACCCAGGTGATCTAACCATGACCAGAATGAAGCTTTGGTGAAACGAAGTGGAGGTTCGAACCGACCGATGTTGAAAAATCGACGGATGAGTTGTGGTTAGGGGTGAAATGCCAATCGAACTTGGAGCTAGCTGGTTCTCCTCGAAATGCGTTGAGGCGCAGCGGTTATTTATGAACTCTCATGGGGTAAAGCTCTGTTTCGGTGCGGGCTGCGAAAGCGGTACCAATCTGTTGCAAACTCGGAATACGTGAGATGATTTCAAATAGCCAGTGAGACTGCGGGGGACAAGCTTCGTAGTCAAAAGGGAAACAGCCCAGACCATCAGTTAAGGCTCCTAAATAAAAGCTAAGTGGTAAAGGAGGTGAAAATGCTGTGACAATCAGGAGGTTTGCCTAGAAGCAGCCACCCTCTAAGGAGTGCGTAATAGCTCACTGATCAAGCGTTTTTGCGCCGAAAATTTCCGGAACTAAGTTTTTTGCCGAAGCTATGGATATATTCTCTTATAGAATATGTGGTAGAGGAGCGTTCCGCCCAGGGAGAAGCCAAGCGCGTAAGCCGCGGTGGACAGGGCGGAAGTGAGAATGTCAGATTGAGTAACGAAAACACTAGTGAGAATCTAGTGCCCCGAAAACGTAAGGGTTCCTCTGCAAGGCTCGTCCTCAGAGGGTCAGTCAGGACCTAAGGTGAGGCCGAAAGGCGTAATCGATGGAAAGAAGGTTTATATTCCTTCACCGTTATTTTATTAGTCCTAAGGGACGAACAAATGAAGCGAAAGAAATTTGCCACCTTGGCCGGTGGAAGAACGAATTGCTTGTCCCTCCATTTTTTCCAAGAAAAGCTTATCGACTTTGATAAAATAGCGCCTGTACCGTAAACCGACACAGGTACGTGGGTTGAATAAACTAAGGGGAGCGAGATAACTCTCTCTAAGGAACTCGGCAAATTGGCTCTGTACCTTCGGAAGAAAGAGTGCCCTTGTAAAAGGGCCGCAGTGAAGAGATCCAGGCGACTGTTTACCAAAAACACAGGTCTCCGCAAAGTCGTAAGACGATGTATGGGGGCTGACACCTGCCCAGTGCCAGAAGGTTAAAGAAGTTGGTTAGTTTCGACGAAGCTGACGACTGAAGCCCTGGTGAACGGCGGCAGTAACTATAACTGTCCTAAGGTAGCGAAATTCCTTGTCGGGTAAGTTCCGACCCGCACGAAAGGTGTAACGATCTGGATACTGTCTCAGAGAGAGGCTCGGTGAAATAAAAATATCTGTGAAGATGCGGATTACCTGCACGCGGACAGAAAGACCCTATGAAGCTTTACTGTACCCTGGAATTGCTCTCAAGCTTGCTTTGCGCAGCTTAGGTGGGAGACGTTGAACTTCTTTTTCCGGAAAGGAGGGAGTCATCAGTGAGATACCACTCTTAGTAAGCTAGAGCGCTCATTTCTTACCGTTATCCGGTAGAAAGACAGTTTCAGGCGGGCAGTTTGACTGGGGCAGTCACCTCCCAAAAGGTAATGGAGGTGTACAAAGGTTCGCTCAGGCTGGACGGAAATCAGCCATAGAGTGTAAAAGCAAAAGCGAGCTTGACTGCGAGACTGACATGTCAAGCAGAGACGAAAGTCGGTTTTAGTGATCCGACGGTGCTGAGTGGAAAGGCCGTCGCTCAACGGATAAAAGTTACTCTAGGGATAACAGGCTAATCTCCCCCAAGAGTTCACATCGACGGGGAGGTTTGGCACCTCGATGTCGGCTTATCGCATCCTGGAGCGGAAGTACGTTCCAAGGGTTGGGCTGTTCGCCCATAGAAAGCGGTACATGAGCTGGGTTCAGAACGTCGTGAGACAGTTTGGTCCATATCCCGTGTAGGCGTTTAGAACATTGAAAGGATCTCCCCTTTGTACGAGAGGACCAGGTGGGGACAATCCGCTAGTGTACCAGTTATTCCGCCAGGGGTAAACGCTGGGTAGCTATGATTGGAGCAAATAACTGCTGAAAGCATATAAGTAGGAAGTTCACCTTAGATGAGTGTTCTTTGTCTATGAAACTTTAAGTTTCAACAATGACAGTAAGATCACGGCAAGACTAGCCGTTTAATAGGCGTAATGTAGACGCGCAGTAATGCGTTTTGAAGCTGATACGTACTAATAGATCGAAGGATTTGATTTTATTTATTATTTTTTTTCTTGGTGTCTTCGTCACAATCGAAACACAGCATCCCATCAGAACTGCGTGGTGAAAGGTTTTTGAGACTAAGATAGCTATCGGGCCACTGATAGTGAAAACGTGTCGATGCCAAGACTTATTTCAATTATTACAACAAAAAGGGAGAGAAGGTATCTTTATTGGATACCTTCTCTCCCTTTTTTAGTTTCTACTCTGTAAGCTCACGCACAGACTGTTCATAGAACAAAAAAACATAAAATAAAAGAAGAAGAACACTTAAATAGGTGAATGTACCCGAAATACGGTTCATAAACGTATTAAACCGGTAGTTATACAGATAAACATAGTTAACTGTTCAGAGTAGTATGAAACCGCTTTCAGACATCTTTAATCAAGGGGCTCTACCATGCATACTCGTTTTGAGGCCGTTCAGATTGGCGTGGCTTCTTAAAACACTGTCCGTACAGATCAAGTTGAAACCATGTATATTCTTATACTCTGAGTATTTCCTTGTGATTTAAAGGTCTATTTTTTATATTTTTATCTTGTCGTATATACCCCCGAAGGGGTATATAAACTCTATGTTAGTTCCCTAACATAAAAGACTTGACTATGCGTTGATTGAAGGAGCTTCAACTGAAGCGAGGTCAAGAGGGAAGTTGTGAGCGTTACGCTCGTGCATTACTTCCATACCGAGGTTAGCACGGTTTACGATATCAGCCCATGTGTTAATTACACGTCCGTTAGAATCTACTACAGACTGGTTGAAGTTGAAACCGTTAAGGTTGAAAGCCATAGTAGAAATACCAAGAGCTGTGAACCAGATTCCCATTACAGGCCAGATTGCAAGGAAGAAGTGAAGTGAACGTGAGTTGTTGAATGAAGCGTATTGGAAGATAAGACGTCCGAAGTAACCGTGTGCAGCTACGATGTTGTAAGTCTCTTCTTCTTGTCCGAACTTGTATCCTGCGTTTGCAGACTCGTTCTCAGTTGTCTCACGGATGAGAGATGAAGTTACGAGTGATCCGTGCATTGCAGAGAAAAGTGAACCACCGAATACACCAGCAACACCAAGCATGTGGAATGGGTGCATAAGAATGTTGTGCTCAGCCTGGAATACGATCATGAAGTTGAAAGTTCCAGAGATACCGAGAGGCATTCCGTCAGAGAAAGAACCCTGTCCGATTGGGTAGATAAGGAATACAGCAGTTGCTGCAGCTACAGGAGCTGAGTAAGCTACTGCGATCCAAGGACGCATTCCTAAACGGAATGAAAGCTCCCACTCACGACCCATGTATGAACAAATTCCGATGAAGAAGTGACATACGATAAGCTGGTAAGGTCCACCGTTGTAAAGCCACTCATCAAGAGAAGCTGCTTCCCAAATTGGGTAGAAGTGAAGTCCGATAGCGTTAGATGTAGGGATTACAGCACCAGAGATGATGTTGTTTCCGTACATAAGTGATCCAGATACTGGCTCACGAATACCATCGATATCCACTGGAGGTGCAGCGATGAAAGCTACGATGAATACAGAAGTTGCTGTTAAAAGAGTAGGGATCATTAATACTCCGAACCAACCGATGTATAAACGGTTCTCAGTTGAAGTAATCCATGAACAAAAACGTCCCCATACTGTCGCGTTTGCGCGGCGCTCTAAAGTTGCAGTCATAATAAAGAAGAAATAAAAATTTAAAGAGTTACAAAATCACCATGGAACCAAGGCCCAAAAAATTGATCTGTTACTACGTATTATACCAGCCTTCGATGCGCGAAACAACAAACGAAAAAAAGAAATATGTATTCTGGATTCTTAAAAATATCGTGCCGTTTTTAACTGGACAGGCACAGATGAAAGTTGAAGTCGAAACAACAAACGAAGAAATACCGAGCAAAATAAGAAATACCCATCAAACGAAGAAAAAGTTATGTTTTTATTTTATAAAGAGTGGGCTCAATTATTTTTTTTGTATGTTGCGGCTTAAAAACTAGAAGCTTTGGATTTTTTTTATAGTAAATTGGGACAAATTCATTTTTGCCCCAATGCATTGACCTTAGAACTGAGTTAGAAGCAAACATCTGAAGTCGTTGGCTTGAAACGTTCAAGGAATAATTAAAGATTTAATTGATCTCCACGTCGGTACTGAAGGTACGCAGTTGTGAATAACCCTGCGAGGGTTACCGGCATGAGGCCAAGAACAATTCCTGAAAGAAGTGTTTCAACCATAAATAAAAATTTGTTTTATGTCTCCCTTCAAAGGAGAACCAAAATCTTTTGGATCTTAATTCTTCTTTGAAGGTATAAGTATGAGGTTCAACCACTAGAAAGGAAATAAACGTCTATTGAACGTCTATGTCTTATCTAGAGTTCGAGAAAGACACCTTATAAAGTATCAACAGTATCGAACTCAAACTTGATCTCTTTCCATACTTCACAAGCTGCTGCGAGCTCAGGAGACCACTTACAAGCTGCACGGATTACGTCACCACCCTCACGAGCGAGGTCACGTCCTTCGTTACGAGCCTGAGTACAAGCCTCAAGTGCTACACGGTTAGCAGATGCACCTGGAGCGTTCCCCCATGGGTGTCCAAGAGTTCCACCACCGAACTGAAGACAAGCGTCATCTCCGAAGATCTCTACGAGAGCTGGCATGTGCCATACGTGAATACCACCAGAAGCTACTGGCATTACACCTGGAAGAGAAGCCCAGTCTTGTGAGAAGTAAATTCCACGGTCACGGTCCTTCTCAACGTAAGCATCACGCATAAGGTCTACGAAACCAAGAGTTACGTTACGCTCACCCTCAAGCTTACCTACTACAGTTCCTGAGTGAAGGTGGTCACCACCTGAAAGACGGAGAGCCTTAGCAAGTACACGGAAGTGGATTCCGTGGTTACGCTGACGGTCAATTACTGCGTGCATTGCACGGTGAATGTGAAGGAGAAGTCCTTCTTCACGACAGTAAGTAGCGAGAGTTGTGTTAGCTGTGAATCCAGCAGTAAGGTAGTCGTGCATAATAATAGGCATTCCGAGTTCCTTAGCTACTTGAGCACGCTTAAGCATCTGGTCAACGTTTCCAGCTGTTGCGTTAAGGTAGTGTCCCTTAATCTCACCAGTCTCAGCTTGAGACTTGTAGATAGCCTCAGCTACGAAAAGGAAACGGTCACGCCAACGCATGAATGGCTGTGAGTTTACGTTCTCGTCATCCTTCGTGAAGTCAAGTCCACCACGAAGACACTCGTATACTGCACGTCCGTAGTTCTTAGCTGAAAGACCAAGCTTAGGCTTAATAGTACATCCAAGAAGTCCACGTCCGTACTTGTTAAGCTTATCACGCTCAGTTTGAATTCCGTGAGGAGCACCCTGGAAAGTCTTACAGTATGCTACAGGAATACGAAGGTCTTCTAAACGGAGAGCACGAAGTGCCTTGAATCCGAATACGTTTCCTACGATTGATGTGAAAAGGTTTGTTACTGATCCTTCCTCGAAAAGGTCGAGTGGGTAAGCAACGTACGCGATGAACTGGTTGTCTTCTCCAGGAACCGGCTCAAGGTCGTAACAACGTCCCTTGTAACGGTCAAGTTGAGTAAGACCATCTGTCCATACAGTTGTCCAAGTACCAGTTGAAGACTCAGCTGCTACAGCTGCTCCACACTCTTCAGCAGGAACTCCTGGTTGTGGAGTCATACGGAATGCAGCAAGAATGTCAGTTTCCTTAACTTGGTAGTCAGGAGTGTAGTATGTTAAACGGTAGTCTTTTACTCCAGCCTGGAATCCAGTACCAGTTTTAGTTTCAGTTTGTGGTGCCATAATAATTATGTCGATGAATTACACGCTTCCATAATTTCTAAATCTACTCGTGGAAAGATATAAAAGTATCTTTATGAGATATGCATTGGATACCTTACAAATTTTGAGGTAAGCTGCAAAAGTATTTTTTGCCAAGAACCAGATTTGAACTGGTGACACAAGGATTTTCAGTCCTCTGCTCTACCGACTGAGCTATCTCGGCGTACGTACTCATAACAATAGCGAACACTGATTCCCTCTGTCAAGGTGTTTTTAAATAAGTTTGGCAATACAGTAAAATGAAATCCATATATTGCCAAACCAAAAGTTTTAAGGTCTCTTTACGTTAAAGGGAAAGAGAGCGCGTCTGGGAAGAAACGGTTTAATTCAATTAAGATACCAGCAAGTACCGTGAACCAAACAGCTGCAAGTACAGGCGCAGTTGAAAGATAAATTTGAAAATTTTTCATAAAATTGCCTCGAAAAAACAATGAAGAAGTTTGATGTTCCAGAGTTTATAAGCTCTTTTCAATCGACTCCCGCGACCATTGAAATTTGAATTTTTGCTTTAAGAAAAGGTTCTGCACCCCTTTAAAGATTTATTCAAAGTCCTTTGAGTTAGGGTTACGTCCTGGGTCATTCGAAAGGAACCCGAAGATGAAAAGAGATACGAAGAAACTAACAACAGTATAAACAAGAATTTTTAATGTAAGCATAGTATTCCTCTCTTAAATTAACGGAAACTTACTGAAGCTTGCCATACAAATGCAAGAAGTAAGAATAACACTGGAATAATTGGGAGTACGTCTACAATTGGGTCAAATGGCGCATACGCCTCAGGTAAACGACCAATAAGGAAAATTTGAGTCATGGGTATCTCCAATCAAAACAAATAAAAAGAATGAACGAGCATTTTTATTATATCTAATAATTTCCTACAAATCAAAATTAAAGGCCAATATTTTACAAAAAAAACATAAATCGGAGAAGGTGGGATTTGAACCCACGGTAACTTGCGCTACATTGGTTTTCAAGACCAATACATTAAACCACTCTGACACCTCTCCAGTGCTTATAAAGTAACAAAAAGACCAGAGAGATGCAAGAAGTCTCTGTTCTTTTTGTTCACTTTTTTCCCAAGGTTCCATTCTTACTTCGTAAGAGTTGAGAAACTTGGTGGATCAAGAATAACTAATTGTGAAAGAACCTTACGGTTGAGCATAATCTGGTCCTTTTTCATTGTGTGAATAAACTTACTATAAGTCGTTCCTTTCGTACGTACTGCTGCATTAATACGGCGAATCCATAAACGACGGTACGTACGCTTTTTCTTACGACGGTCAGTATAAGCTGTTGTAAGAGCTTTTAAAGTACGCTGCTGAGCTGTACGGAATAAAGTGGAATGTGACCCACGGTACCCGCGATTAAGTTCTAAAATTTTGTTGCGACGCTTACGCGCTACATTTCCACGCTTCACTCGTGTCATATACTCTCCCCTTTTGAATAGCTTCGTATTACAAAAGTATTTTTATTTTTTATCTTATCTAAATTATGCCGTTTTCCACTGTATAATCTAAATAAATCTAGCCTACCATCTATATGGTATAGAATATATAAAAATATAGTATTCAGTCAAGACCTTGATTCAAAATTTCTTTATGTTTTTTCGGAGAGAAAGGGATTCGAACCCTTGGTACGATTGCTCGTACGTTTCATTAGCAATGAAATACTTTCGGCCTCTCAGTCATCTCTCCTCGACTAGAAAATAAGATATTAAAGCTTCCGTCTTGTCAAATCATACACGCCCTCTAGGACTTGAACCTAGGACATCAGGTTTTGGAGACCTGCGTTCTACCAACTGAACTAAGGACGCTTTTTTATTGATCTCACCAGACCTAAAGTTTCGGAGTGACAGGATTCGAACCTGCGACCACATCCTCCCAAAGGACGTACGCTACCAAGCTGCGCTACACTCCGATATTCTTTGTAAGAGAGATTAGCAAAAGTTAATAGTTAAAACAACGCACTTTTTTATTTTATTATTTTGCTTGTTTATATCAAAAAATATAAACAAGCAAAATTTTTTAAAGTACTTTAAAAAAGTTAAAAAACCGTCTTAACTTTTTACTTGTAAAGTTGAGTTCCAAGACGGAGGGAAAGAATACCAGTAATAAGTGCTACGAAAAGAGCAGTAAAAACTTGTGTATCAGATAAAGGCATAATGTGTTTTATGGTTTAAAGGTTTCCACCGCGTGCGAAAAGAGCTCCAATAATAATTGGACCTGCTCCTACAACAAGAGCAACGGTTACAAGTTGACCGATTAATTCAAGATTCATAAATTTTACCCGAACGTTAAAATATTTTTGCTTTCAATAAAAGCATTCCAACCTCAAAAGAAGAGGGACCAAAAAATGACAATAAAAAGATTAGCTCACCTGTTCTTTCTCGATGTAAAGAAAAAGAGATGCCATTGCAACAGCCGGGAAAACTAATCCTACAAGAGGTACAAAGATTGAAGGTAATAATGATGCAGCCATGAGTTTTTCTCCTAAGGAAGTATTTCACCAAAATCAGAGGTATAGAGGCGACATTAGTATTATAGAAAAAAATCAAAAAACCTTCACTCTATTTTATATATTTTTTTTTCCGGGATTGACGGGACTCGAACCCGCAACTTCCGCCGTGACAGGGCGGTGCTCTAACCAATTGAACTACAAACCCACAAATTGATGCGTGTGCAGTTATAATGCCTCATGCAGCGCAATTTTGCAAGAAAAAATATTTAAATGGCGCATATGCGGTGTGCATGTGCTCTTTTTTTTAATAAAATGGAGGTACACCATACTTTTATCACACCATTGTTTAAACTATGAGTCTTTGACAAAATTATTTTTGAAACTGCACTCATTCATAGTAAAAAGTAGGAATCCGTTTCATTTGAATTCAAACAATTGGCTTTTTATTGAAAGGTTTTCCCTTTATTTTAAAATAAATAAAAATAACGCTTCATAGAAACCATTTTTACGTTTGAAAGTAAATGATCTTTAAGTTTTTCGTTATCAATAATTGAAAACTTTCAGTAATGAAATATAGAGGAAAAATTAATGACAATTAGTCCACCAGAACGCGAGATTAAAACTGTCAAAATCGTCGTAGATCGTGACCCGGTACCGACTTCATTTGAAAAATGGGCAAAACCTGGACACTTCTCTCGTACACTTGCCAAAGGTCCGGCTACAACAACGTGGGTATGGGACCTTCACGCAGATGCACACGACTTCGATAGTCACACGACTGACCTTGAAGACATTTCGCGTAAAGTCTTCAGTGCTCACTTTGGACAACTCGGAGTCATCTTTATTTGGCTTAGTGGAATGTACTTCCACGGAGCACGTTTTTCAAACTATGAAGCATGGTTAAGTGACCCGACTCACATTAAGCCATCTGCACAAGTAGTGTGGCCAATTGTTGGTCAAGAAATCTTAAACGGTGACGTTGGAGGAGGATTCCAAGGAGTACAAATCACTTCAGGATTCTTCCAACTTTGGCGTGGAAGTGGAATCACGAGTGAACTTCAACTTTATAGTACAGCTATTGGTGCCCTTATCTGTGCAGGACTTATGTTCTTCGCAGGATGGTGGCACTACCACAAAGCTGCACCGAAGCTTGAGTGGTTCCAAAATGTAGAATCAATGATGAACCACCACCTTGCTGGTCTTCTTGGACTTGGAAGTCTTGCATGGGCCGGTCACCAGATTCACATTGCATTACCAGTAAACACTCTTCTTGATGCTGGGGTAGATCCAAAAGAGATTCCACTTCCACATGAGTTTATGCTTAACCGTGCTCTCATGGCTGAGCTTTACCCAAGTTTTGCAAAAGGACTTACACCATTCTTTACATTTAACTGGACTGAATACTCAGATTTCCTTACTTTCCGTGGAGGATTAAACCCAGTAACAGGTGGTCTTTGGCTTACTGATATGGCTCACCACCACTTAGCAATTGCTGTTCTTTTCCTTGTTGCTGGTCATCAGTACCGTACGAACTGGGGAATTGGGCACAGCATGAAAGAAATTCTTGAAGCACACAAAGGGCCTTTCACGGGTGAAGGGCACAAAGGGCTTTACGAAATTTTAACAACTTCATGGCACGCACAACTTGCTATTAACTTAGCACTTATGGGATCATTATCTATTATTGTGTCTCACCACATGTATAGTATGCCTCCATACCCATACTTAGCGACTGATTACGGAACGCAACTTTCACTTTTCACACACCACATGTGGATTGGAGGTTTCTGTATTTGTGGAGCAGCTGCACACGCAGCAATTTTCATGGTTCGTGATTATGATCCAGCAACAAACTACAACAATGTTCTTGATCGTGTACTTCGTCACCGTGATGCAATTATTTCTCACTTAAACTGGGTTTGTATTTTCCTTGGATTCCACAGTTTTGGACTTTATATCCACAACGATACAATGAGTGCGCTTGGACGTCCGCAGGACATGTTCTCAGACACAGCAATTCAACTTCAGCCAATTTTTGCACAATTTGTGCAGCACACACATGCCCTTGCACCTGAACTTACTGCACCTACAGCAGCAGGAAGCACAAGTGCTAGTTGGGGTGGCGACATCGTAGCTGTTGGTGGAAAGATTGCAATGATGCCAATTTCACTTGGTACATCAGACTTTATGGTTCACCATATTCACGCTTTTACTATTCACGTAACAGTTCTTATCCTTCTTAAAGGTGTTCTTTTTGCGCGTAGTTCACGTCTTATCCCAGATAAGGCAAACCTTGGTTTCCGATTCCCTTGTGACGGACCAGGACGTGGAGGAACTTGTCAAGTATCAGCTTGGGACCACGTTTTCTTAGGTCTCTTCTGGATGTATAACTCAATTTCTATTGTAATTTTCCACTTTAGCTGGAAGATGCAATCAGATGTTTGGGGAAGTGTAACTGGAAATGGAGTTTCACACATTACTGGTGGTAACTTTGCACAAAGTGCAAACACTATTAACGGATGGCTTCGTGATTTCCTTTGGGCACAATCTTCACAAGTAATTCAATCATACGGATCTGCGCTCTCAGCATACGGTCTCATCTTCTTAGGTGCACACTTTATCTGGGCTTTTAGTCTCATGTTCCTTTTCTCAGGGCGTGGGTACTGGCAAGAGCTTATCGAGTCAATCGTATGGGCGCACAACAAACTTAAAGTTGCGCCAGCTATTCAGCCACGCGCTTTAAGTATTACGCAGGGACGTGCCGTTGGTGTTGCTCACTACCTTTTAGGTGGTATCGCAACAACTTGGTCATTCTTCTTAGCGCGAATTATTGCAGTAGGATAAACGCACGGAGGATATACACTTATATGGCAACAAAATTCCCTAAATTTAGTCAAGGACTTGCATCGGATCCCACAACACGTCGTATCTGGTTCGGAATTGCAACAGCACACGATTTCGAAACACACGATGGGATGACAGAAGAGAAACTCTACCAAAAGATTTTCGCTTCTCACTTCGGGCAACTTGCAATTATTTTCTTATGGACATCAGGTAACCTTTTCCACGTAGCGTGGCAAGGAAACTTTGAGAAGTGGGGTGAAGATCCTCTTCACGTACGTCCAATCGCTCACACAATCTGGGATCCACATTTTGGACAACCAGCTGTTGAAGCATTTACACGTGGTGGAGCTTCGGCTCCAGTAAACATTGCATATTCAGGTGTTTACCAGTGGTGGTACACAATTGGTATGCGTACAAACGTTGACCTTTACAACGGGTCACTTTTCCTTCTTTTTGTAGCAGGACTTTTCCTCTTCGCAGGATGGCTTCACCTTCAGCCGACGTTTGCACCAGCAGTTTCTTGGTTCAAAAATGCTGAATCACGTTTAAATCACCACCTTTCGGGACTCTTTGGAGTAAGTTCACTCGCTTGGACTGGTCACCTTGTACACGTAGCAATTCCAGCTTCGCGTGGAGAGACTGTTCGTTGGGATAACTTCTTAACAACATTACCTCACCCAGCAGGACTTGCTCCATTCTTTACAGGACAATGGGCTGTGTATGCACAGAATCCAGATACAGCTGGACACATCTTCGGAACATCTGAAGGGGCTGGAACAGCAATTCTTACATTCTTAGGTGGATTCCACCCACAGACACAGAGTCTTTGGCTCACTGACATGGCTCACCACCACCTTGCAATTGCTGTAGTTTTCATCATTGCAGGACACCAATACCGTACGAACTTCGGAATTGGGCACAGTATGAAAGAAATTCTTGAAGCACATACAGCACCTTCAGGACGTCTTGGAGCTGGGCACACAGGTCTTTTTGATACTGTAAACAACTCTCTTCATTTCCAACTTGGGCTTGCACTTGCATCTGTTGGTGTATTATGTTCACTTACAGCACAGCACATGTACAGTATGCCACCGTACGCGTTCCTTGCTCAGGACTTCACAACGCAAGCAGCACTTTACTCGCACCACCAGTATATTGCTGGTTTCATCATGTGTGGAGCTTTTGCACACGGAGCAATCTTCTTTATTCGTGACTACGATCCAGAAGCGAATAAAGGAAACGTACTTGCACGTATGTTAGAGCACAAAGAAGCGATTATTTCGCACCTTAGTTGGGTATCACTTTTCCTTGGATTCCACACGCTTGGTCTTTATGTACACAACGACGTAATGCAAGCATTTGGAACACCGGAAAAGCAGATTCTTATTGAGCCAGTATTTGCACAATGGATTCAGGCTGCACAAGGTAAAGCTCTCTATGGCTTTGATATTCTTCTTTCAGGGGATAACGCTGCAACTGCCGCTGGTAATTCAATTTACCTTCCAGGTTGGCTTGCTGGAATTAACAGTTCTACAAACTCGCTTTTCCTCCCAATTGGGCCTGGAGATTTCCTTGTACACCACGCAATCGCACTTGGACTTCACACAACAACGCTTATCCTTGTAAAAGGAGCGCTTGATGCACGTGGATCTAAGCTTATGCCAGATAAGAAAGATTTCGGGTACAGTTTCCCTTGTGATGGACCAGGACGTGGAGGAACATGTGACATCTCAGCTTGGGATGCTTTCTACCTCGCAGTATTCTGGGAGCTCAACACAGTGTCATGGACAGTATTCTATTTCCACTGGAAGCACCTTGCTCTTTGGCAAGGAAATTCAGCTCAGTTTGACGAATCATCAACATATATCATGGGATGGCTTCGTGACTACCTTTGGCTTAACTCATCTCAACTTATTAACGGGTACAACCCGTTTGGAATGAACAGTCTTTCGGTATGGGCGTGGATGTTCCTTTTTGGACACCTTATTTACGCAACAGGATTTATGTTCCTTATTTCTTGGCGTGGGTACTGGCAAGAGCTTATTGAAACTCTTGTTTGGGCACATGAGCGTACTCCACTTGCAAACTTTGTAAAATGGAACGATAAGCCAGTTGCCCTTTCAATTGTGCAAGCTCGTCTTGTAGGTCTTACTCACTTTGCAGTAGGATTCGTACTTACATATGCAGCTTTCGTAATTGCTTCAACTTCTGGTAAGTTTGGATAAATTAGTATTTATGTTAATTTAGAGCTTTAATTTCATGGGGGCTTTAAGCCCCCATGTACATCCAATTAAAAATTGTAAAAATGCGAATTTTCGGATTTATTTTATACGTAGGTATCATGAGTTTGTTAGTAGTGGTATGCCTCCCACAACAAACGCGTTTTCGTGATAAAGTCACACGTCAAATTTTTGAAATAAGAATTTTTGTTCAGTATAAGAATGCTTTTCTTTTTACAAAAATTTTAATTTGGTCAATTTTAGTATTGAGTTGTTTATTTTTTAGCAGAATAATCTTCATGTAACGTCTAGGACAGTAACTGCCCTAGACATCTTAAAAATAATTTAAAAAATCATTAGAAGTTCATTTCTGAAAGCTGTACTTTCTCGAATTGCTTTTTCTTGAGTACAAGGAATACTTGTGCAATAAGTACAAATCCTAAGAAAATAACAAGCCCTTGGAGACGAGCTGGGTTTTGAAGTACAATTTCTGTCTCTCCTTGCCCAAATCCACCTACATTAGGGTTATTTGTAATTGGCTGATCAGCGGCTACAGTGTCACCTACTGAAACTAAAAGATCTGGACCAGACGGAATCGCTACAGTCACAGAGCCGCCATCAACCTTATCAATTACAACATCAGTTCCTTTTTCTGTTGGGTTAATTGCAGCAATTTTACCTGCAGCTGCAGCATTATAAACAGTGTTGTTTGATTTGCTACCATCTGGGTAAACTTGCCCACGACCACGGTTTCCACCAAGGTAAATTGGGTAAGTAAGGTAATTTACCTTCTTGTTAGTTGCCGGATCAGGTGAAAGAAGTGGGAAAGTCATCTCACTATATTTTTTACCTGGTACTGGACCAACAATAAGAATGTTTTGCTTGTCTTCACTATATGGCTGGAAGTAAAGTTTTCCAACTTTTTCTTTAAGCTCTGCAGACATACGATCAGCGGGAGCCATAGTGAACCCATCAGGGAGAATAAGTACTGCTCCAACGTTTAAGCCACCTTTTTTCCCATTTCCAAGAACTTGCTTAACTTCTTGGTTGTAAGGAATTTTTACAACTGCTTCGAAAACTGAATCTGGAAGTACTGCTTGCGGTACTTCAATATCAACAGGTTTTTGTGCAAGGTGACAGTTAGCACAAACAATACGACCAGTGGCTTCACGTGGGTTTTCGTACCCTTGCTGGGCATACATTGGGTAAGCTAATGCGTTGTTAGCTGTCCCAACAAAAAGCGATGCAAATACGCTTACGAGGAATAAATTTTTCTTCATGAGAACTAATAATTTGTTTAGATTGAAATTTCCTTTAAATCTGGGGCACAAGGACTCGAACCTCGGAATAACTGAACCAAAACCAGCCGCCTTACCACTTGGCTATGCCCCATTTTTTGAATATTATGAAATTTCTTTGCCAAAAAGTCAACAAGTGAAATTATGACAAAGAAATTATTTTCTGATTACCAACTTGCTTTACGGACTCCCGGAAGAAGCCCTTGGTGCGCCATTTCACGTAATACATGACGTGAAAGACCGAAATCACGGTAATACCCTTTTGGTCGACCAGTCTTTGCACAACGGTTCTTAAGACGTACTTTTGAACTGTTACGGGGTAACCCTTGGAATTCACGTTGGATACTTACCACTTCACGAATAGACTCTGCAGTACGGATGCGTTCTTTAAATTCAAGACGCTTGGCTGCATATTTTTGAACAAGTTTTTGGCGTTTTGTTTCACGCGCAATTAATGCCTTTTTTGCCATGAGATTTTTAAATAGGTAGATAAACTAAATACAATAGGGACTCAAACTTTCAAATTCATCAGTCTGGTTAAGTATTAGTAAAAATAAGATATATTTGTTTGGAACTAATTTACCATATTAATAACTATTCGTCACTTTTTTATTTTAAATTTGTTCTTTCTTTTGAACACACTGAAGGTGTTCAAAAGAAAGAACAAAAAAATTAATTAAGAAGCTTTGAAAATTGCCTTGTACTCAGCAATTGCTGCTTTTAACATCTCTTCAGCTTCAGGTCCAAACTTCTTAGAAGAAGTTACATCCGAACAGAATGATGCCTTGTTTGTCTTAATGTACTCACGAAGACCTGTAAGGAATGAACGAACTTGACCTACTGCAAGGTCATCTAAGTGTCCTTGAGTTCCAGTATAGATAGTAGCTACTTGCATATCTACTGAAAGTGGCTGGTTCTGTGCTTGCTTAAGAAGCTCACGTAAACGTGCTCCACGAGCAAGTTGGTTCTGCGTTGCTTGGTCAAGATCAGAAGCAAATTGTGAGAATGCCTCAAGCTCTGCAAACTGTGCGAGTTCAAGCTTAAGTGTACCTGCTACTTGCTTCATAGCCTTAATTTGAGCTGCTGATCCTACACGTGATACAGAAATACCTACGTTAATTGCTGGACGAATACCAGAGTTGAAAAGGTCAGCTGAAAGGAATACCTGTCCATCAGTAATTGAAATTACGTTAGTTGGAATGTATGCCGATACGTCTCCACCTTGTGTTTCAATAATTGGAAGTGCAGTCATGCTTCCTTCACCTAATGCGTCACTAAGCTTCGCTGCACGCTCAAGTAAACGTGAGTGAAGGTAGAATACGTCACCAGGGTATGCCTCACGTCCTGGAGGACGCTTAAGAAGAAGGGACATTTGACGGTAAGCTTGCGCCTGTTTAGAAAGGTCATCGTAAATGATGAGAGTCGCACGACCAGTGTACATGAAGTACTCTGCTAATGATGCCCCTGTGTATGGTGCAAGGTATTGGAGCGTTGCTGGTGAATCAGCAGTTTCAGATACGATAATTGTGTAATCCATTGCTCCTGCGTTTGTAAGAGTTGTCACAATCTGCGCTACTGATGATGCTTTCTGTCCAATTGCTACGTATACACAAATTACGTCACCACCTTTTTGGTTAATGATTGTATCTGTTGCTACTGCAGTTTTTCCAGTTTGACGGTCACCAATGATAAGCTCACGTTGTCCACGTCCAATTGGAATCATTGCGTCAATCGATACGAGACCAGTTTGAAGTGGTTCGTATACTGAACGACGTGCAATAATTCCAGGAGCTGGAGATTCAATTAAACGTGTTCCATCTGCTTTAATGTCACCACGTCCATCAATTGGACGCGCTAACGCATCTACTACACGTCCTAAGAATGCTTCTCCTACTGGTACTTGAGCAATTTTACCAGTTGCTTTTACTGAGTCACCTTCTTGGATCTTAAGACCGTCACCCATTAATACAGCCCCTACGTTATCTGTTTCAAGGTTGAGGGCTACTCCAATTGTTCCATCTTGGAACTCAAGTAACTCACCAGACATTACTTTTTGTAAACCATAAATACGAGCAATTCCATCTCCTACTTGAAGCACTGTTCCTACATTTACAACTTGTGCTTCTTGAGTGTACTGTTCGATTTGTTGGCGAATTACGCTACTAATTTCATCAGGACGAATTTTTACCATTTTATCCTCGGTTCGATTCAATCTTAAGGGATTAACTTTTCACGGATTGGTGGCTAAAGAGCACACCGTCCCATTTATATTGGGAGAGCTTAAACATATTTATCAAAAGCGAGTATATTGTTTGCTCGTAAAGTATTAAACGTTAATTTTTAACGCTTAATTTCCACCAATGGGTGGAAAAACTAAAATTTACTTTAAAGACGAGAAGTCATAAGTGAAATCTTAGCGTCAATATATTTGCGGTGAAGTGAAGCATTCATTTGAGATTGAATCCCAACAATTGCTTTCTCAAACGCTACATTAACAAGTTGCTTGCGGAACTGTGCAATTGCTTTCTCTTCTTCAAGACGAATTGTTTCATCTTTAAGACCAGCAAAACGAGTTGCTACTTCAGCCATACGTGAGCTTTGCTCAGCAGTAAGTGCCTCAAGAGTTTTACGTCCCTCACTTTTAATATCTTTTACTTTGTCGTTTGCAGTCGCAAGTTCTGCTTTCGCTGTATCAAGTTCTAATTGAGCTTGTTTAAAGCGATCATCAGCACTACGAAGACTTCCAAGAATTTTTTCACGACGTGTATCTAACATAGATGTGAGTGTGTCACGCCCGAGTGTAAATACAATTGGAAGAACAACGGCAAGGTTAAGAACGTTCGTTTCAAGAATATTAGTGTTGAAACCGAAACCTTCTGCAAGTGATACCATTCAAAACCTCCAGATGATTTGGAATTTGTATTAAATTAATTTTTTCTAAAAAAACTAATAAAAAAAATTACGAATATCGTAATGTATCAACAAATTTTTTTTGCTGATTCTGTTTCTTGGCAGCTGATAATACTAAAAACTGCCATAAGAAACATTGTTTCTAATAGAATTACAAAAAAGTAATTAAGAAACGAATGGGTTTGCGAACATTAATGCTAATGCCACTACAAGACCGTAAATTGTTAATGCTTCCATGAACGCTAAAGATAAAAGAAGTGTTCCACGGATTTTCCCTTCAGCTTCAGGTTGGCGAGCAATACCTTCTACAGCTTGTCCAGCTGCAGTACCTTGACCAATACCAGGACCAATAGCTCCAAGTCCAATTGCTAAACCAGCTCCAACTACAGATGCAGCACAAATTAATGGGTTCATTGTATGTTTCCTTTTTATAAGTTGCTTATGCTCTTGCAGATTACCAGTTTTCGCCATTTTTTTAAACTCATTTTTTTATTTATACTGGGGTTTTACCCAATGCCTTTAATAAAATCCTTTCCCCCGGAGACGTCCGGGAAAAAATGGAAAGGAAGTTCTGGTGAGGCATTTGAGTTTTATTGCATTGAGTGATGCAAAAGTTTAATCCAAGATCAAAACTTAAAGCATCTTTTAATGCTTAGTGTCCTTCAAGTGCTTCTCCAATGTACGCTCCAGCAAGTGTTGCAAAAATTAATGCTTGGATTCCACTAGTAAATAATCCGAGGAAAATGAGTGGGATCGGAATCACAAGAGGAACTAATGATACGAGTACTGCTACTACGAGCTCATCTGCAAGAATGTTTCCAAAAAGACGGAAACTTAATGATAATGGCTTCGTAAAGTCCTCTAACACGTTAATTGGAAGTAAGATCGGGGTTGGTTGAACATACTTTCCAAAGTACTCTAATCCTTTCTTCTTTAATCCAGCATAGAAATATGTTAATGATGTAAGAAGAGCGAGGGCTACAGTTGTGTTAATGTCATTTGTTGGTGCTCCAAGTTCACCGTGTGGAAGTTCAATAAGCTTCCATGGGATTAAAGCTCCAGACCAATTTGAAACGAAAATAAATAAGAATAACGTTCCAATGAATGGTGTCCATTCTAAATAGTCGTGTCCAACTTGAGTTTTTGCAATGTCACGAATGTACTCTACAACAAATTCAGCAAGGTTTTGTCCACCTTCTGGAACTGGTTTTAAATCACGAGTTGTTGTTACTGCAAACGCAATAATAAGTCCGAGTACAATCCATGAATTAATAAGTACTTGTCCGTGCATTTGGAATCCGCCAAGACTCCAATAGAAATGTTGACCAATTTCTACAGCGGAAATGTCGTAAAGGAAATTCATCACCTGTCTCCGTGCTTTGATGTTTCACACTCTCATCATACCTTATTTTTAAAAATAAGAAACGCACATTTTTTATTTTTCTATTTTTCAAAAAAATTTAATTATTTTAATTGTGGCTGGAGGGAATTGAACCCTCACGCCGTCACCGGCAGGAGATTTTAAGTCTCCAGTGTCTACCATTCCACCACAGCCACGTTTTATCGATTGGGCCGAACTGGATTTGAACCAGTGTAGGCAAGCCAACGGATTTACAGTCCGTCCCCATTAACCACTCGGGCATCGACCCATTGAATTGATCCCTATAAAAATAGGTCATGTCTTAGAGAGGACTCGAACCTCCACGCCGTAAAGCACAAACCCCTCAAGCTTGCGTGTCTACCATTCCACCACTAAGACATATCTGTTTTGAGTATAGAATAAACCTATAGAGGTTTCAAGTAGTTTTCCTTAATTTAGTAACTTAAAAAAAAGACACTTTAAATTAAGGAAAAAACTACTTTTAAATGTTAAAAATAAATAAATTAACGCTTTGAGAACTGTGGTGCCTTACGAGCTTTCTTTAAACCATACTTCTTACGCTCTTTCTTAAGCGCAATACGAGTAAGGAAACCAGCACTCTTAAGTGGAGTACGGTACTCTGAGTTCATCATACAAAGGGCACGAGCACAACCAAGACGGATTGCGTCTGACTGACCGGTTAACCCCCCACCTTCTGTACGAATAAAAATATCGTAAGTTGCATCTAATTGAAGTTTTTCAAATGGTTTTAAAATATTTGCATATGCACCCTGTAAGTACTGTTCTGCATCCACTTGATTTACTTTAATTGTTCCTGTCCCAGGTGAGCAAATTCGAACTTGAGCTACCGCTCGCTTTCGACGCCCTGTAGCGGACCAAACTTGCATAAAAAATCTCCTTTAAGTTAAGTGAGTTATAAATGTATTGATTAATCTTCTTTTAATTCGATTCCGTAAGTACTTAATGCGGCACGAACTTCATCGGCAGATTTTTGACCGAAATTTCGAAGTTTCATCAAGTCTCGAAAAGACTGCTGCGATAAATCTGCCAATGTTAAAATATTAGCACGCTTTAAGCAATTGTATGCACGAAGCGAAAGTTCTAATTGTTCAATAAAAATTTGATCGAAATTACTCTCTGATTCCATTTTATTGTAATTAACTTGTACAAAATTAGGAGTCTCTGGAAGTTTTGATTCGTCGAGATAAACTTGTTGATCTTGTAACGTAGTAAGACAAGCTGTCATTAATTTCATACCAACTTTCGCCGCAGATTTCACTGCATCAAATGGGTTGATGCTACCATTGGTCCAAACTTCAAAATAGATATATTCACCATCAACAGAATGTTCTTGAACTGTAAAATTAACTTGTCGAATTGGCATAAAAATCGCATCAATTGGGAAAGTTACTGATTTCGAATTTGTTTGCGTTGAATCAAATTGTTCGAAAAAGCGTTGATCCATAAGTTGGGGCACACCCGGTAACTTTTTCCATGATTGATACCCACGACCTTGTCCAATTAAAAGAGTTAATTTAAAGTTTTCAGCAGCTGTTGGTGATAAAATTGTTGCAATTTGTTGGTTGGGATCAACGAATTCATATTCAGGAATATGTAAGTCTTTTGCAGTTACTACATACGGGAAATTATCAATTTTTAATTCCGAGTTTAGCTTTGCATAAACAAACGGTTTGGTTTGTTTTACTTTTTGTGCACAAGTTGCTGTCGGAGTAAAAATGAGTTCACGAAGATTTAAAAAAATCTCAATTACAGATTCTCGGATTCCAGGGAGAGTCGAAAACTCACTCTGAACACCGTTAATTTCGGCACCAATAACCCCAATTCCAGGAAGATCGTTTAATAAAATACGGCGAAGCGTATTACCAATCGTTAATCCTTGCCCGGGATTTACTGGACCAAAACTCAATCGACCATAACAATCCGTTAAACTATTTTGACGGTATTGTAATGATTTAAGTGTTGCCGCTGCTTTAATCATAAAATAAATAGAATAGAAAGATTGGCATTAGAATCGTTTGGCTGAGATTCCTAAAAAGCAAGTTGTGTATAAATTATACACGACGCTTCTTCGGAGGACGACAACCATTGTGTGGTAATGGAGTAACGTCACGAATTAAAGTAACCCCTAATCCAAGCTGTTGAAGAGCACGAATTGCCATTTCACGACCAGCTCCAGGACCTTTTACCATTACATCCACATATTTTAAACCGTAATCAAGAGCTTTACGAACAGCTTCTTCAGATGCAGTTTGTGCAGCAAATGGCGTTCCTTTTCGTGCCCCACGGAACCCGCAAGCACCAGCAGATGACGATGCAATAACAAGACCAGAACGATCACTGATAGTTACTAATGTATTGTTAAACGTCGCTAAAATGTGAACTACTCCACGTTGAACTTTGCGACGTGATTTCTTTTGCGTAACTTTACGCTGTTTTGTTGCCATAATAAAAGTATTGCTAAATAACTAGTTATCAAATCAAACTAAAGATGCAAAAATTATTGCGTTCGATCTTTTCGTAAACGATAAATAATGCGACCTTTCGTAAGATCATACGGTGTTAATTCAACGGTTACTCGATCTCCAAGGAGAATTTTAATAGAATTACGTCGAATTTTACCAGAAATGTGTGCAAGAACTTGAAAACCATTCTCTAGTTCAACTTGAAACATAGCATTTGGAAGTGATTCTACTACAACCCCTTCCATTTCAATAAGTTCGCGATTGCTTGCCATAACCTACCAAATTTTACAAAGAACCTCACCGCCAATCCCTAAAGCGCGAGCTTTACGGTCAGTCATGATTCCTTGTGATGTAGAAATGACAGCTACTCCCATTCCATTTAATACTGGTTGGAGTTGTTTGTGGTTCGCATATACACGAACTCCAGGAGTACTTACGCGTTCAAATTGTTTTACACCACGTTTTAAGTTAACGGTGAAAAACCCATTTTCTTCTTGTTCAATTGGACCAAGAAAACCTTCTTGCACTAATACTTGGGCAATATCTTTCACTACACGAGTTGCTTTTAAAGAAGTTTGTTCTTTATCAGCAAGATACGCATTGCGTAATCGTGTAAGCATATCACTAATTGTGTCGTTTACCATGTTTGTCAATAAAATAAAAAATAAACCCTTAGTTTACTGAACCTGCTTTGAAAGGCATACCAAGTTCCTTTAATAAACCATGACCTTCTCGATCTGTTGATGCAGTTGTAACAATTGAAATGTCCATACCACAAACTTGATCAATCTGTTCATAACTTACTTCAGGGAACATTAATTGTTCAGTAAGTCCAAGTGTATAGTTTCCGTGTCCATCAAAATTTTTTGGACTAATACCTTGGAAGTCACGAATACGTGGAAGTGCAAGATTTACAAGACGATCGTAGAATGCATACATACGCTCTCCACGGAGTGTCACTGTTAAACCAATTGGCATATCTTCACGAACCCCAAATCCAGCAATTGCTTTCTTTGCACGTTTAACAATAGGACGCTGCCCGGCTAAAATGGTTAATTCGTCTGCTAAAGATTCAAGTAACTTTGTATTCTGAGATGCACTTCCTACTCCACGGTTGATAACGATTTTCTCAAGACGTGGGATTTCGTGAGTATTCTTGTACTGAAATTGTTCTGTAAGAGTTGTTTGTACTTTTGTTAAGTACAAGTTTTGAAGTCGTTGAATCATACAAATAAAGTTAAAGAACTTCTGGTGCGAGAGAAACAATCTTCATAAAATCGCGTTCACGTAATTCACGTGCGATTGGACCGAAAACACGTGTACCACGTGGGTTTCCCTCTTTGTTAATAATAACCGCGGCATTATCGTCAAAACGAATTGACATACCGTTGTCACGTTGAATAGTGTGTGCTGTACGTACAATGACTGCACGAACAACTTCGGACTTTTTAATTGGCATGTTAGGCAATGCTTCTTTTACGACAGCAATGATTACATCACCAATATGTCCAATTTTACGGTTCAATACGCGAATACACATTAATTTACGTGCTCCACTATTGTCCGCAACCTCGAGATATGTCTGTGGTTGAATCATATAAATTAAAAATTATAAGATTAAATTTAATACTAAATCTTATTGTGGCGCAACATATTCGTCACGCACAAGAAATTTAGTTTTGACAGGCATCTTGTATGCCGCAATACGCATCGATGCACGAGCGATTGTTTCTGGCACACCAGCAAGTTCATAAAGAATCTTTCCTGGTTTTACAATACATACCCAATAATCTGGGGCACCTTTACCAGCACCCATACGTGTTTCTGCTGCACGAGCTGTGATTGAACGATCTGGGAACATACGAATCCATAATTTCCCACCACGCTTCGCATAACGACTCATAGCACGTCGACCCGCTTCAATTTGACGTGAAGTGATCCAACCTGGCTCAAGTGCTTGAAGAGCAAAATCTCCGAAAGAGATTTTATTTCCACGAAGTGCTTGTCCTTTACGGTTTCCACGGTGAGGTTTACGATATTTTGTTCGTTTTGGACTTAACATGATTTCTCCCCCTTACAAACCCATACTTTAATGCCTAAAATTCCGTAGATTGTTTGAGCACGAGCTGTTGCATAATCAATATCAGCACGAATTGTATGTAAAGGTACACGCCCTTCACGAGCCCATTCGTGACGAGCAATTTCAGCTCCATTTAAACGTCCAGAAATTTGAATTTTAATTCCTTCAGCCCCTGCTTTACGAGCACGCATAATTGCTTGACGCATTGTACGGCGGAAGGGAGTACGCTTTTCAAGTTGTTCCGCGATATTTTCAGCAATACAAATTGCTTCCATCTCCGGTTGTTGTGTTTTTGTTACATATAATGCAACGTTACGAGTGTCTGGGAGTTTTGCTTTAATCTCATCGCGGAGTTGAGTTAAAGTTTCTCCTTTTGCTCCTACAAGTGCACGTGGACGTGCAGTGAAAAATTCAATTTCAATACGATCTACTTGACGTGAAATATTAATGCGAGAGATGCCCGCATCAGGGAGACGACTCTCAGCAAATTCACGGATTAAAAGATCTTCTTCCACGAGTTTTGCATAATCTTTTGGTTTTGCAAACCATTGTGAACGGTGAGTTTGTGTTACACCAATTCGGAATCCAATCGGATGAACTTTTTGACCCATAATATTTTTCTGTTTAGGAAATGAGGTGTGTTACAAATAAAGAATTTTTTTACTCTTTATTTCCAAAATAATTTTAACGTTTCGATTTTTTATCAGACTTTACGTGTCCACGAAACGTACGTGTTGGACTAAATTCACCAAGTTTGTGTCCAACCATTTGGTCAGTGACGAATACTGGAATGTGCTCACGACCATTGTGTACTGCGATTGTGTGGCCAATCATGATTGGTGTGATTGTAGAACTGCGTGACCAAGTTTGGATTACAGTTTTTTCACCTTTTGAGTGAAGAAGCTCAATTTTTTTCATAAGCTTATCTGCAACAAAAGGTCCTTTTTTAAGAGAACGAGCCATAAGAGATATAAAAATTTATGAAACTTTTCTTCGACGAAGAATAAGGGTATCACTGTACTTTTTACGTGTACGTGTTTTAACACCAAGAGCAGGTTTCCCCCATGGCGTACGAGGTTGTGCGTGACCAACTGGACAACGACCTTCTCCTCCACCGTGTGGGTGATCTACAGCGTTCATAACACTACCACGAACTGTTGGACGACGACCAAGCCAACGTGAACGACCAGCCTTTCCAAGAGAAAGGTTCATAGCCTCCATGTTTCCTACTTGTCCGATTGTAGCCCAACATTTGTTTGAAATAAGTCGCACTTCACCAGAAGGAAGACGAAGAGTTACATACTCTCCTTCTTTTGCAACAAGTTGTGCCACTGCACCAGCAGAACGAACAAGCTGACCCCCTTTCTTTGGGTGCATCTCAATATTGTGTACTTGGACACCTAATGGCATTGCCATTAAAGGTAATGAGTTTCCTACTGCGTTTACTGCTGTTTCACTTGCGATGATAGAATCACCAATTTCTAATCCATTCGGATGTAAAATATAGCGTTTCTCACCATCTTGATATTCGACAAGTGCAATACGAGCATTACGGTTTGGATCATACTCAATGGTTTTAACTGTTGCCGCCATATCATATTTGTTACGACGGAAATCAATTTGACGGTATAAACGTTTGTGCCCACCACCACGGTGACGACAAGTAATTACTCCACGGTTGTTACGACCTTTTGCACGGTGCATTGAACGTGTTAAAGACTTTTCGGGACGAGTCTTTGTTAATCCACTACAATCCGCTACAGAACGGTTACGTGTTCCCGGAGTATATGCTTTATAAAAACGAAGAGCCATATATTAGTCAAAAATAGGTAAAGTATCGCCATTTTTTAAGCGAATAATAGCACGCTTTGTACGTGTTTTCACTCCACCGAATCGTGTCTTACGACGTGGGAGGCGGTGCGTATTTACCGCAACCACTTGAACTCCGTAGAGGTCCTGAATAAGCGTCTTAATATCTGTTTTGCTGAGGTTTACGTCCACATCGAACGTGTAACGCTCAGACTCAAGAAGCATTGTTGATTTTTGAGTTACAACTACGCGTTGAATGAAGTCAATCATAAAAACTGAAGGTCCATTTCAATGGATATAAAAATAACTAAAAAACTTTAGAATATTCTAAACGAATTGAACCAAAGAATTTGTATTCATATATTAAATTATCTGACTTATTATTGTAGTTTGTAAACTTAATTATTTTGTAAAGTGAGCTAATTTTTTAGGCAACTCAACCAAGATTCAATAAAATGAAATCTGGTTTCTATTGGCTCGAACGGGGATTGAACCTGTGACCTTAGGATTATGAGTCCTCTGCTCTACCACTGAGCTACCGAGCCTTGTTTTGATCTTGGTACTATTGTAATATAATATAAATGAAATTAAAACTGAAAATTGATTTTTTAGTTTTTTTTTATTTATTGTCCAAATTAATGGGCATATTACTATTAAAATGATATTATAAAAGTAGCTCGAGGACTAGTTTGTCAAAATTTGAACTTTGGGCTGAAAATCGATTTTTAAGGAATTAAATCCTATGCTTTTTATCTTTCAACTTACGCTCCTTGCTTTCATTGGGCTTTCATTAGCTCTTGTTATTGGTGTGCCAGTACTTCTCGCTTCTCCTGAAGGATGGGCTCAAAGTAAAGGACTTGTATTTTCTGGATCTGCTCTTTGGATGCTTTTAGTATTTGTGGTAGGTGCGTTAAATTCATTTGTATCGTAAATTTAAATTTCAAGTTGAAGAAACATTTTTTTCTTCAACTCTATAATGTGGGGGTATATTCTATCCCCACTTATAAAAATAAAAAAAAATCCAAAGCTTCTAGTTTTTAAGCCGCAACATACAAAAAAAATAATTGAGCCCACTCTTTATAAAATAAAAACATAACTTTTTCTTCGTTTGATGGGTATTTCTTATTTTGCTCGGTATTTCTTCGTTTGTTGTTTCGACTTCAACTTTCATCTGTGCCTGTCCAGTTAAAAACGGCACGATATTTTTAAGAATCCAGAATACATATTTCTTTTTTTCGTTTGTTGTTTCGCGCATCGAAGGCTGGTATAATACGTAGTAACAGATCAATTTTTTGGGCCTTGGTTCCATGGTGATTTTGTAACTCTTTAAATTTTTATTTCTTCTTTATTATGACTGCAACTTTAGAGCGCCGCGCAAACGCGACAGTATGGGGACGTTTTTGTTCATGGATTACTTCAACTGAGAACCGTTTATACATCGGTTGGTTCGGAGTATTAATGATCCCTACTCTTTTAACAGCAACTTCTGTATTCATCGTAGCTTTCATCGCTGCACCTCCAGTGGATATCGATGGTATTCGTGAGCCAGTATCTGGATCACTTATGTACGGAAACAACATCATCTCTGGTGCTGTAATCCCTACATCTAACGCTATCGGACTTCACTTCTACCCAATTTGGGAAGCAGCTTCTCTTGATGAGTGGCTTTACAACGGTGGACCTTACCAGCTTATCGTATGTCACTTCTTCATCGGAATTTGTTCATACATGGGTCGTGAGTGGGAGCTTTCATTCCGTTTAGGAATGCGTCCTTGGATCGCAGTAGCTTACTCAGCTCCTGTAGCTGCAGCAACTGCTGTATTCCTTATCTACCCAATCGGACAGGGTTCTTTCTCTGACGGAATGCCTCTCGGTATCTCTGGAACTTTCAACTTCATGATCGTATTCCAGGCTGAGCACAACATTCTTATGCACCCATTCCACATGCTTGGTGTTGCTGGTGTATTCGGTGGTTCACTTTTCTCTGCAATGCACGGATCACTCGTAACTTCATCTCTCATCCGTGAGACAACTGAGAACGAGTCTGCAAACGCAGGATACAAGTTCGGACAAGAAGAAGAGACTTACAACATCGTAGCTGCACACGGTTACTTCGGACGTCTTATCTTCCAATACGCTTCATTCAACAACTCACGTTCACTTCACTTCTTCCTTGCAATCTGGCCTGTAATGGGAATCTGGTTCACAGCTCTTGGTATTTCTACTATGGCTTTCAACCTTAACGGTTTCAACTTCAACCAGTCTGTAGTAGATTCTAACGGACGTGTAATTAACACATGGGCTGATATCGTAAACCGTGCTAACCTCGGTATGGAAGTAATGCACGAGCGTAACGCTCACAACTTCCCTCTTGACCTCGCTTCAGTTGAAGCTCCTTCAATCAACGCATAGTCAAGTCTTTTATGTTAGGGAACTAACATAGAGTTTATATACCCCTTCGGGGGTATATACGACAAGATAAAAATATAAAAAATAGACCTTTAAATCACAAGGAAATACTCAGAGTATAAGAATATACATGGTTTCAACTTGATCTGTACGGACAGTGTTTTAAGAAGCCACGCCAATCTGAACGGCCTCAAAACGAGTATGCATGGTAGAGCCCCTTGATTAAAGATGTCTGAAAGCGGTTTCATACTACTCTGAACAGTTAACTATGTTTATCTGTATAACTACCGGTTTAATACGTTTATGAACCGTATTTCGGGTACATTCACCTATTTAAGTGTTCTTCTTCTTTTATTTTATGTTTTTTTGTTCTATGAACAGTCTGTGCGTGAGCTTACAGAGTAGAAACTAAAAAAGGGAGAGAAGGTATCCAATAAAGATACCTTCTCTCCCTTTTTGTTGTAATAATTGAAATAAGTCTTGGCATCGACACGTTTTCACTATCAGTGGCCCGATAGCTATCTTAGTCTCAAAAACCTTTCACCACGCAGTTCTGATGGGATGCTGTGTTTCGATTGTGACGAAGACACCAAGAAAAAAAATAATAAATAAAATCAAATCCTTCGATCTATTAGTACGTATCAGCTTCAAAACGCATTACTGCGCGTCTACATTACGCCTATTAAACGGCTAGTCTTGCCGTGATCTTACTGTCATTGTTGAAACTTAAAGTTTCATAGACAAAGAACACTCATCTTAAGGTGAACTTCCTACTTATATGCTTTCAGCAGTTATTTGCTCCAATCATAGCTACCCAGCGTTTACCCCTGGCGGAATAACTGGTACACTAGCGGATTGTCCCCACCTGGTCCTCTCGTACAAAGGGGAGATCCTTTCAATGTTCTAAACGCCTACACGGGATATGGACCAAACTGTCTCACGACGTTCTGAACCCAGCTCATGTACCGCTTTCTATGGGCGAACAGCCCAACCCTTGGAACGTACTTCCGCTCCAGGATGCGATAAGCCGACATCGAGGTGCCAAACCTCCCCGTCGATGTGAACTCTTGGGGGAGATTAGCCTGTTATCCCTAGAGTAACTTTTATCCGTTGAGCGACGGCCTTTCCACTCAGCACCGTCGGATCACTAAAACCGACTTTCGTCTCTGCTTGACATGTCAGTCTCGCAGTCAAGCTCGCTTTTGCTTTTACACTCTATGGCTGATTTCCGTCCAGCCTGAGCGAACCTTTGTACACCTCCATTACCTTTTGGGAGGTGACTGCCCCAGTCAAACTGCCCGCCTGAAACTGTCTTTCTACCGGATAACGGTAAGAAATGAGCGCTCTAGCTTACTAAGAGTGGTATCTCACTGATGACTCCCTCCTTTCCGGAAAAAGAAGTTCAACGTCTCCCACCTAAGCTGCGCAAAGCAAGCTTGAGAGCAATTCCAGGGTACAGTAAAGCTTCATAGGGTCTTTCTGTCCGCGTGCAGGTAATCCGCATCTTCACAGATATTTTTATTTCACCGAGCCTCTCTCTGAGACAGTATCCAGATCGTTACACCTTTCGTGCGGGTCGGAACTTACCCGACAAGGAATTTCGCTACCTTAGGACAGTTATAGTTACTGCCGCCGTTCACCAGGGCTTCAGTCGTCAGCTTCGTCGAAACTAACCAACTTCTTTAACCTTCTGGCACTGGGCAGGTGTCAGCCCCCATACATCGTCTTACGACTTTGCGGAGACCTGTGTTTTTGGTAAACAGTCGCCTGGATCTCTTCACTGCGGCCCTTTTACAAGGGCACTCTTTCTTCCGAAGGTACAGAGCCAATTTGCCGAGTTCCTTAGAGAGAGTTATCTCGCTCCCCTTAGTTTATTCAACCCACGTACCTGTGTCGGTTTACGGTACAGGCGCTATTTTATCAAAGTCGATAAGCTTTTCTTGGAAAAAATGGAGGGACAAGCAATTCGTTCTTCCACCGGCCAAGGTGGCAAATTTCTTTCGCTTCATTTGTTCGTCCCTTAGGACTAATAAAATAACGGTGAAGGAATATAAACCTTCTTTCCATCGATTACGCCTTTCGGCCTCACCTTAGGTCCTGACTGACCCTCTGAGGACGAGCCTTGCAGAGGAACCCTTACGTTTTCGGGGCACTAGATTCTCACTAGTGTTTTCGTTACTCAATCTGACATTCTCACTTCCGCCCTGTCCACCGCGGCTTACGCGCTTGGCTTCTCCCTGGGCGGAACGCTCCTCTACCACATATTCTATAAGAGAATATATCCATAGCTTCGGCAAAAAACTTAGTTCCGGAAATTTTCGGCGCAAAAACGCTTGATCAGTGAGCTATTACGCACTCCTTAGAGGGTGGCTGCTTCTAGGCAAACCTCCTGATTGTCACAGCATTTTCACCTCCTTTACCACTTAGCTTTTATTTAGGAGCCTTAACTGATGGTCTGGGCTGTTTCCCTTTTGACTACGAAGCTTGTCCCCCGCAGTCTCACTGGCTATTTGAAATCATCTCACGTATTCCGAGTTTGCAACAGATTGGTACCGCTTTCGCAGCCCGCACCGAAACAGAGCTTTACCCCATGAGAGTTCATAAATAACCGCTGCGCCTCAACGCATTTCGAGGAGAACCAGCTAGCTCCAAGTTCGATTGGCATTTCACCCCTAACCACAACTCATCCGTCGATTTTTCAACATCGGTCGGTTCGAACCTCCACTTCGTTTCACCAAAGCTTCATTCTGGTCATGGTTAGATCACCTGGGTTCGGGTCTACGATAAGGGACGAGTGCCCTATTCAGACATGCTTTCGCTTTGGCTTCGATGAAAAATCTTAACCATGCCACTTACCGTAAGTCGCCAGATCATTCTTCAACAGGCATGCAGTCAGATGTGTTCATCCTCCTACCAATTGTAAGTATACGGTTTCATGTTCTATTTCACTCCCCGAATAGGGGTTCTTTTCATCTTTCCCTCGCGGTACTTTTCGCTATCGGTGACCTAGGAGTATTTAGTCTTACCAGGTGGTCCTGGCGAATTCATACGGGATTTCACGTGCCCCATACTACTTGGGAGCCAAACGGCATTGAGTGAAGGTTCAACGACTGGGCTTTCACCATCTATGGCGCAGGATTCAGCTGCTTCGTTTCTCATCAATTTCTATACCTTTGTGTTTGGTCCTATAACCAGAAAAATAAATTTTTCTTTTAGACTGGTCCCATTTCGCTCGCCGCTACTTTGGGAATCGCTTTTGCTTTCTTTTCCTCCAGCTACTAAGATGTTTCAGTTCACTGGGTTGTCTTTCTCTTCTCTATGAATTCAAGAAGGAATGTTTTAGGTTGCCCTATTCGGGAATCTTCGGATCAAAGCATACGTCCTGCTCCCCGAAGCATATCGTCGGTTATCACGCCCTTCATCGGCTCTAGGTCCCTAGATCTCCACCATATACTCTTTGTTGATTGATTTTGTTTTAAATAAAAGGTTCCACAATTCAGTCCTTCGAAAAGGAGTTTGGCTGGAGGTAAGCGGACTCGAACCGCTGACGTCTGCCTTGCAAAGGCAGCGCTCTACCAACTGAGCTATACCCCCGTGCCATGGGCTATTCAGGACTTGAACCTGAGACCTCACCCTTATCAGGGGTGCGCTCTAACCACCTGAGCTAATAGCCCGTAGCCAGCGGCAATTACGCGCCGCTTCCGGCTTGGTCTTTTTTGAGAGCATCTCTACTCTCAAGATCTCATTAAAAGGAGGTATTCCAGCCACACCTTCCAGTACGGCTACCTTGTTACGACTTCACCCTAGTCACCAACCCTGCCTTCGGCATCCTCGTCCATAAAGGTTCGAGTAACGACTTAGGGAAGGATCGACTTCCATGGTGTGACGGGCAGTGTGTACAAGACCCGGGAACGTATTCACCGCTGTATGCTGACCAGCGATTACTAGCGATTCCACCTTCATGTACTCGAGTTGCAGAGTACAATCCGAACTGAGATAGGGTTTTTGAGATTGGCTAGCCTTCACAGGTTTGCGACTCATTGTCCCTACCATTGTAGTACGTGTGTAGCCCAAGATATAAGGGGCATGCTGACTTGACATCATCCACACCTTCCTCCGCTGTATAGCGGCAGTCTCTTTTAAGCACTGTAAAACAGCAACAAAAGACATGGGTTGCGCTCGTTACAAGACTTAACTTGACATTTCACAACACGAGCTGACGACAGCCATGCACCACCTGTCATTCTATCCCGAAGGAGGCTCTTCTTTCAAAGAGTTTTAGAATGATTTCAAACCTTGGTAAGGTTTTTCGCGTTGCATCGAATTAAACCACATACTCCACCGCTTGTGCGGGTCCCCGTCAATTCCTTTGAGTTTCACATTTGCATGCGTAATCCCCAGGCGGGAAACTTCACGCGTTAGCTTGACCACCGCTCCGAATACCGGCTCGGCAGTGAGTTTCCATCGTTTACGGCTAAAATTACTAGGGTATCTAATCCTAATCACTCCTTTAGCTTTCGTCTCTTAGCGTCAGGTAAAGCCCAGTACAGTGCCTTCGCCATATTGGTGTTCCTTCCGATATCTACGCATTTCACCGCTCCACCGGAAATTCCCTGTACCTCTACTTCCCTCAAGCATGGAAGTTTCTTTTGCGGACCCCCGGTTGAGCCGAAGAATTTCACAAAAGACTTTCCAAACCGCCTACAGACGCTTTACGCCCAATCAATCCGAATAACACTTGCATCCTCTGTCTTACCGCGGCTGCTGGCACAGAGTTAGCCGATGCTTATTCCTCGAATACCGTCATTGATTCTTCTTCGAGAAAAGAAGTTTACAACCCGCAGGCCGTCATCCTTCACGCAGCGTCGCTCCGTCAGGCTTTCGCCCATTGCGGAAAATTCCCCACTGCTGCCTCCCGTAGGAGTTTGGCCCGTGTCTCAGTGCCAATGTGGCTGTCCATCCTCTCAGACCAGCTACTGATCGTCGCCATAGTGTGCAGTTACCATCCTATCTAGCTAATCAGACGCAAGATCATCTTTAGGCGAAATTCCTTTCACTCCACAGCATATCGGGTATTAGCATCCGTTTCCAGAAGTTATCCCCGTCCTAAAGGTAGATTCTTACGTGTTACTCACCCGTTCGCCACTTTCATATTCTTGCAAGCAAGAATACTCACGTTCGACTTGCATGTGTTATGCACGCTGCCAGCGTTCCTTCTGAGCCAGGATCAAACTCTCCATGATGTGTTTTTGAATCTCATTCAAATTGAATGCTTCTGAGTATGAGTATACAATTGAGCCCAGACCAGCCCACGATGTCTGCCTCTTTCCGGACCACAAATAAAAAAAACCAGGTCGAAAAATTCGACCTGGTATCAATGAGTCTCTCAAAAAAGGGTTAATCTTTCGTAAGTTGATCAAGAATAAAAGCTACTGAACGAGCAGAGTCATCATTAGCTGGAATTCCATATGATACAAACGTAGGATCACAATTTGAATCAAGTAATGTAATTGTTGGAATGTTTAATTTCTGGCACTCTAACACTGCATTACGTTCATTTGGTTGGCCTACAATCACAACTAAATCAGGTAAAGTTTTTAAATTACGGAGGCCACCAAAAAATTTCTCAAGACGTTCGCGTTCACGTGTTAAAGATAAAATATCTTTCTTTGTAAAACCTTTTTTTGGTGTAGCAGTTTCTAATTGAGCATCTAAACGTCCTAATTTTTCAAGACACATTGTCATAGTTGTCCAATTCGTTAAAAGCCCACCAACCCAACGTGTATTTACATAGTTTGATCCGGTTTTTGTTGCCACTTGCTCAATTAACGGTGCAATTGCAGGGCGAGTTCCCACGAAAATCACATTCTTTGCAGATTTAAACGCTGTACGAGCTTTCTCAAGTTCTCCGATTGTTTGAACTACGTCTAAAATGTGAATTCCATTTTTCTCTTCATAAATGTAAGGCGCCATTTTTGGGTTCCAACGGCGTGATTGATGTCCAAAGTGAACACCAGCTTCAAGCATTGACTGTAACATATTCAGTAATTTTTTAACTTTTTCAAATTTTATAAACATTCACATTTTTATACGGGAGTATACCATAAATTTATATTAAAGTTAATATAAACCTGTTCCGGCTGGGATTAAACGACCTAAAATCACGTTTTCTTTTAAACCAGTCAACCAGTCAATCTGCCCCTCTAATGCAGCTTTTGAAAGTACACGCTTTGTTTCTTGGAAACTAGCGGCTGAAATAAAACTCTCGGCCATTAATGCAGCACGTGTAATTCCTAACAACATTGGACGATATTTCACCCCCGCAAAAAATCCCGTATGTTCCAATTGTTCAATTCGGCGAATATCTACGATATCACCAGGTAACAACCCTGTTTTTCCAGCGTCTACAACAACAACATGCGTTGTCATTTGACGCACAATAATTTCTACGTGTTTGTCACCGATATATACACCTTGCGACTGATATACATCTTGAACTTCTTGTACTAAAAATTGTCGGATTTTCTGGAAACTTAATTCACACCCTTCACGTAAACCATAAATTTTCCCGTATTGGGAAAATAAAGTAGAAAGTTTAGCGTGCATACTCGTGAGAACTTTATGTTGAGGCTCACGTGCTTCAAGTAACTCATCAACTTTCGGTAAACCTTGCACAATATCACCAGCAGTAGATTGTGACGTCATTAATGTACCAAGAACACTATTTTCTTGTACCAAACTACCATGTTTTACTACTACATTTGAACCTGGAACTAATAAATACGGTTGTACAGAACGGAAAAGTACATTTTCTGCAGTAATAAAATTAATTTGTCCCGACAGTGGGATACGAGTACTTGTTGTTAATTGATCCTCTACACGGGCATAATCACCTACCTTCATTTTTAAATCACAAACAGGCGATTTAAAAGCAATTTGATCTTTCTCTGTCATCATGCAATTTGTTGCACGAACTTCGCCACAATTTAAAAGTGAACTGAATCCTTTTCCGTATTGAACGTTCAGACGAACATAATCTGCGTCAACCGACATTAAATTTCCGTTTTGTAAAGACGGGTTAAAACTTTTAATGTTTTCATGCGTCGGCGAAGGGAAAAAATTTGTCTTTTTCTGGAAAGTTTTAAGAGGTTTTACAACTTCAAGAAAAGTTTTTTTATTCTTATTAATTGAATTCTGTACAAATAAGTTATTTGCAAATTGTGTTTTTAACGGATTAGTTTGAGTAGATACTAATTTAGTTACTGAGCGCAATAATAAAAATTTCTCTTTTGCATTAAATTTATCAGCCTTACCAAAACGAGAAAACTTAATTTTAAACGTTGGAACTTTTTTCGTTGGCGTATCTTGATTAAAGAATAAGTTTTTTGATTTAAACGGTAAATGTTCTAAATCGGAAGTAATAAATCTATATTTCGACAAACTGTCACAATGAAATAATGTTTTATTAAGTTCCAAAGCATAGCTACGGGCAAATTTTAAATTATCAGCAGACAATTTAGAAAATTGTAACAATGGAAGTTGCTTTAAAGTTTCAGCATCAGTAGACTGCAACTTGGAAAGGGACGTTTGATTCGAATCAATCGGAAATACATAACCAAGCGGTAACGTGGTAGTAAGTCGACTCGGTTCACAATTGATTTTAGAACGGATTGGGTACAGAGCATTCTTAATCTGATCTCCTGGAACTAACGTTTTTGAATCAAGAATCTTACCTGCTAATAACCACATTTCTGAATAATTAAAAGTAGTTGTACCGGCATTGTCTTCATTAATTAAAGCATTTTGTCGTTGAGGTAAGAAAATTTGCCCTGAACAATTCGACATAAATTCCTTCTGAACATTCTCAGTCCCTACCTCAAATTGTTGGAAATTCTGTTTGTTTTCAATTCGTGAAAGTTCAGCTAAACTTTGGTGTTCACCCACTGTTTGTCCCGGTGGAATATATAACAATGTAAAAGATGGGAATTCTAATACAGAGGTTGTATTATCATTTTTAATTTTCACCTTAAGAGGCTCAAAAGTTAAAAATGCAACTTCCCCATATTTGGAAACAATTTTACGACCACGGGCTTGTTTACTATAAAAAACAATTCCATTATGTGGTGAATAAACTTTTTCTGTCGCTTCACCCGCAAATACACCACCCGTGTGGAAAGTACGCATTGTTAATTGGGTACCTGGTTCACCAATGGATTGAGCAGCTAATACTCCAACAGCCTCACCTAATTGAACTAATTTTTGTTGTGCTAAATTCCACCCGTAACAAAGTTGGCAAACAGCATGAAATCTACACGTTAAAGGTGATCGGATTGTTAAAGCAGGTTGTTTAATAAGTTTTAGAGCTAGAGCCGGAGAAATATCCTGGTTTTTATAACCAACCATACGACCCGTTTCCAAATCTACGACATCTTCAAAAAGTACGCGGCCAATTAATTGGGATTCAATCTTTTCTAACTCCGGTACAATTCGTAATCCTTGAGTAGTTTGGCAGTCAACTTGTTGAATAATAACACTTTGTGCTACATCAACCAATCGGCGTGTTAAATATCCTGAACTTGCAGTACGTAAAGCAGTATCTACTAAACCTTTACGTGCACCATAACAAGAAATCATATACTCCGTAACTGTAAGGCCCTCACGAAAATTTCGACGAATTGGAAAATCTAAAATCTGACCTTGTGGGTCAGCCATTAAGCCTCGCATTCCAACTAATTGACGTACCTGAGAAATATTACCTCGAGCTCCTGAGAAAGCCATCATATAAACTGGATTAAAGATATCTGTTGAACGGAAATATTTTACCACTTCAGTTTTTAAAGTATCGTTTGTCGTATTCCAAATATCAAGTGCTTTCTCAAGACGTTGCACAGAGGTAATTTGACCACGTTTTAGACGTAAATCATTTTCATAAATATCATTTTCAGCATTAAGTAAAAAGGCTGATTTAATCGGTGGGATAGATAAATCATCAATTCCTAATGAAATCCCAGCATGCGTGGCATAATGAAATCCCATTGTTTTTAATTTATCAATTAAACGAGTTGTCTTTTCAGTTCCATAATTCAAAAGAACCCATTTAATAAGACGTTTCATCTCCCCTTTATCTACGGTTCGGTTACAAAAAAAGGTTTTCATAAATTAAGTTATTAAAAAGAACACGCCCTGGTGTTGTAAGAATATAGAAAGCTGCGGCGTTCAATGACGTTAAACAGTTATACACTTTCGAAATGCTAGAGGTATCACGAGACTTCATTTGTACTGATAACATAGAATTATCTGGCCCATTTGTGGCACCTGACTGCATGACAAAACTATCATAAACTGTTGTTACATGACCAGTTTTATTTACCGTGATTTGTAATGGTTCCGAATTTGTAGTTTGAATATATGATGACCATCTTAACCAAATAATTTCATGTAAATCAACCTTACTTGTTTCGTACGCATGAAGAACGCTCTCAAAATTATTAAAAATTGAATTGGATTGAATTAAGTTACGACCGCGAACTGCCATTGGTTGCTCAACGGGGCGTTTCAGACTTACGGTTGGTTTTAATGTTGTTAAATAATAAAAACCAAGAATCATATCTTGGCTGGGGAGAATACTCGGTTCACCAGTTGCTGGGGATAACCAGTTATGGGTAGCCAACATTAATAAACGAGCTTCGGCTTGAGCTTCAAGACCTAATGGTACGTGTACTGCCATTTGGTCTCCATCAAAGTCTGCATTAAAAGCTGGACAAACTAAAGGGTGTAATTGGATTGCTCGACCAGATAATAAAATTGGTTCAAATGCTTGGATACCTAAACGGTGTAATGTCGGAGCTCGATTTAATAAAACTGGGTGACCCAAAACAACCGTATCAAGAATATCCCAAACCATTTGCGAACGGCGTTGTAATAAATTTTTTGCTGCGCGAATATTTTTCACCCCAGATTCTTCTAATAAAGCACGAATCACAAATGGTTGAAATAATTCTAATGCCATTTCACGTGGTAATCCACATTGATGTAAACGTAATTTTGGGCCCACAACGATAACGGAACGCCCAGAATAATCAACCCGTTTTCCTAATAAATTTTGACGGAAACGTCCATGTTTACCTTCAATAATGGAAGTTAATGATTTAAATGGCTTACGATTTGGGCGTTGGGCAGGTTTATCTAATCGTCCATTATCAATAATCGAATCCGCGGCTTCTTGAAGTAAACATAAATCATGCCGAATTAATAAATCAGGTAAAAATTCTTCATCAAAAAGTGTTAAAAATTTCTCAAAACGAATTTTCCGATAAATTAAACGACGGTATAAATCATTTAAATCTGAAGTTGCGAACCGACCACTGGACATCTGGATCATTGGTCGTAAATCTGGCGGTAACACTGGAAAAATTGATAAAATCATCCATTCTGGGCGTAAACCTTTACGTGCTAATGAACGGATAAATTCTAAACGACGCGAATACTCACGAACTTTAATAGTAATACCGTAATTTTTTTGATCAGTACGACCAAGTAGTTTAGCCGTTTTACGACGTTTATGACGTTTTCGTAATGATTTAGCTGCCAATTTTTTCTTTTCAATTGTATTCTTTAACTTACGAGATAACATTCGTTGTAAAAATACTAAATCAAGTCGAGTTAACAATTCTTGTAATGCTTCACCACCACAATTTTCAATTGTTTTAATTTGGGATGGCATAAATGTTGATTTCGAATTCCACGATGCAGCTTTGTCCATCGAAACATCAATATCTCCGGCAAAATAAGGGTGCATTGGTTCCCAATGGTTCACATACCATTGAACACCACCATGTAAACAATAATTTTGCGTTCCGTACTTAGACGGAGTATATGTTTGAAAGTGAATTGTTTCATCAATTTCTTGACTACGCATATTTAATAATGCAGCCAATACGTTTGGAGAGTTACGGAAATACCACATATGGGCTACAGGTTTCTTTAAAGAAATACAACCCATACGGTAACGACGAACTTTTGAATTAGTTGGTTCAACACCACATGACGGACAAACTTCAATTATCGCTTGCGTTGCTTCTAATTCAGCATTTCGTTTTTGAAGTGTGAGACGATTAAAATTAACGGGAACGATTAATTTTCGACGCTTAGTTTTTCCACACGAACATTCGCCATTGGACGTTGATCCAAAGATTCGTTCGCAAAATAATCCACCACGTTCTGGTTTAAAGGTTCGATAGTTAATCGTATCAGCTTTACTAATTTCCCCAACTACTTCACCAGTTGGTAAAATACGTTGGGACCAACGTTTAATTTCACTTGGTGAAGCTAATTGAAGTTGAACATATTCAATACTCATAGCCTGATAATTATAATTAATGATTAAAAGTTAATACGTGCAATACTCATATCGAGACATAATCCACGTAATTCTGATACAAGGACTTTAAAAGATTCTGGGATTCCGGATTTTGGCAAAAGCGTTCCACGAATCATAGACATAAACGCACGGTTTCGCCCGATCATATCGTCAGATTTAATCGTTAATAATTCCTGTAAAACATAAGCAGCACCAAATCCTTCAAGTGCCCAAACTTCCATTTCACCTAAGCGTTGTCCACCCTTCTTAGAACGTCCACCTAAAGGCTGTTGTGTTACTAATGAATAAGGTCCAGTTGATCTCGCATGAATCTTGTCATCAACTAAGTGAACAAGTTTTAAAATATACGGGTACCCAACGGTAACGGGTTGATCAAAATTTAAACCAGTTCGACCATCAAACACGATACTTTTTCCTGGTGAATTGGGTTTAAACAACCATTTTTGTTGTGTCAATAAACGTGATTTATACAAATAATGGTAAACAAAACCACGTGAAACTTCTGCCCCGTGCATTTCATCAAATGGTAAAACTTTGAAATTTTGTTTTAAGGTATTCGCTGCTAAACCAAGTAAGCATTCAAAGATTTGCCCCACATTCATACGCGACGGTACACCAAGAGGGTTTAATACCATATCAAGGGCTTTACCACTTTGTAGATACGGCATATCAACTCGCGGTAAAATATTAGAAACAATACCTTTATTTCCGTGGCGACCAGCAACCTTATCACCTACCTGTAAACGACGTTTTTCTACAAGATAAACGTACACAGAACCAGTTGATTCAATGCTTTCATCTTCAATATTTTTTGTTTGACGCTTAAATTCACAGCGAACATCAAGAATTCGGCCACTTACTCCACTTGATAAACAATATGAAGTAGTTTTCGTATTACGAGCGACACCACCAAAAATTGCACGTAATAAACGACTTTCCGGATCATTATCGGAATCCGGTTGAGGTGAAATTTTCCCGACTAATACATCACCAGCCTCGACCCACGTTCCAATCTTAACAACTCCAAACTCATCTAAATATTGATTACGATCAACTTGATTAGTAAAGTATTCTTGCCCTTCTCGTAAACGAGCAGTAGAAACTTCATATCGACTAATATGAATCGATGTAAATACATCGTCATAAACTAAACGTTCACTGACCAGCACGGCATCTTCAAAGTTATAACCCTCCCAGGGCATATAACCAATTAAAATATTACGACCTAAAGCTAATTCACCTTTCGCTGTTGCTGCATTATCAGCTAAGCAATCTCCAGCCTCCACCCACGTATTTGCTTCAACAAGAGGTTTATGATTTAAACAAGTATCTTGGTTCGAACGCTGGTAGCTCGTTAACCAAATTGTATTATGTTTAAATTGGTTACTTGCAAAAACATCTTCAGCAGTTAAATTTTGGTAGTCAATTAAATTAGTATCGCCAATCACCGGTGTAAAATAATCAATACGCTGTGCATCTACATATGAAATATAACTATTTTGTTTTGCAACAATAGTTGCACCAATATCACGCGTTACATGAGCCTCTAAACCAGTTCCTACAAATGGTCGCTCAGATCGCAATAATGAAACGGCTTGACGCTGCATATTAGAGCCCATAAGAGCACGGTTTGCATCGTCATGCTCAAGGAATGGAATTAATGAGGTTGCAATCGACATAAATTGGATTGGACAAAGACCTAAAAAATTAATTTCTTGAACTGTATTCTCAGTAAATTGACTCTTATTTCGAGTTGGGATTCGGAAGTTCGATAGGTCTACGTCACCTTGCGCTACAACTGTATCCTCTTCATAAAAAGCACTTAATAAAAAGAATCCATTACGATCTGGTGTATTACTTTCTGAAATTAATTTATAATAAGGGCTTTCAAGAAAACCATTCTTATTAATTTGTGTAAATGTCGCAATTGAACCTACTAATCCGGCATTTTTACCTTCTGGTGTTTCAATTGGACAAATGCGACCATAATAACTTGGGTGAATACCACGAACAATTAAACCAGCACGATCACGATTTAAACCACCAGGTCCTAAAGAACTTAAACGACGCTTATGAGTAATCTCCGCTAATGGATTTGTCTGATCCATAAATTGGGACAATTGATTTGAACCGAAAAATTCTTGAAAAACCGATGCTAAAACTTGAGTACGGATTAAGGAATTTAATGAACCTAAAGCACCGGGTGTTTTACGTAAAATATTTTCATCACTAATACGATTATAAATAACCCGCTCTAATCGATTTAAACCAAGACGGAATTGTGTTTGAATTAATTCACCAGCTAAACGAGCACGTCTATTTTTTAAGTGGTCAATATCATCTAAAAATTCTGTTTCGCCATTTTCACAGCGTAATAAATAGTCGAGGGCTGCTAATGCATCTTGTGGCGTTAAAGTTAAATGTTTTGTTTTTGAACGCATGCGAAACTTTTGATTTACCCGTTTACGCCCAACATCACTTAAACTATAACGGCGTGGATTAAAAAATTGGTTAAATAAAAATTTACGGCCACGTAATACTGTCGCAGGACGATTCGGAAATAAGCGTGACATTAATAAAAGAATAGCTTCATCGGTAGTAAGTTTCCAATCAACTTCTTTTAATGTGGGGTCCAACGCTTCGGGATATTTTAAGGCTCCGACAATGGTATCCATTGAGAAACCTAACGCTTGAAGAAACACTGTTACTGGTACTTTACGCAAATTATCAATATGAGCAAAGACGACCCCTTTTTTATCAGTTTCAAAACGTAACCATGAACCATAAGCTGATAAAAAACTAACTAAATGCGTACGATTTCCTTGTTTATCAAATTGAGGTTTTAAATAGACCCCAGGGCAACGAACAATTTGGTGTACAATAACACGTGGGGAACCATTTAAAATAAAAGTTCCATGTTCTGTCATTAGTGGTAAATCACAAAATGCAACTGGGAAAGTAGCATTTAAATTTAAATACTTTGAGTAGACATGCACTGGAACAATTAAAGAACTTTTATAAGTTCCCAATTTTTGTACCGCTTCTTGCGGTGTATAGTGTGGTTTTTTAAAATAAAAGTCTTTTGAGTGAAAAGATACTGAAATAAAACGATCAGTTGGTCGTTTCGAAGAACTGCCTAAACTTTGACCAACAATTGGTGAGAAAAAATCTAGTTCTTCACGAATTCCCGTTTCTAAAAAATAACGGAAACTATCACGTTGTGAATCTAAAAAATTTGGAAGAGCTGAGTTTTGTCGAAACAGCGTCATAATAAAATCTCCCCGAATAAATAAAAATGAGAAATTTAAAAGCTTATAAAATAAATTAATATTGAAAAGATAGATAAAATACGCTAATCTGTAAATATATCTGCTGAAAATGAATCAGTGGCGGTGTAGCCAAGTGGTAAGGCAGAGGACTGCAAATCCTTTATCCCCCAGTTCGAATCTGGGCACCGCCTATTAAATAATTTATTTTAATTATAAAAAAAGAAAAAACCGTCATCATTTGCTAATAACGATTTTGATGAATTAAACAAAAAAGTAAAATTCGTAAAATATTTGAATTGAAACTTAAATTTATATCTTTTGGTTGCCTACCTTGTCCGAAAATATGTCTATTAGTGCTGCTTCTTTTCAGTTCTGGCACGATTCAAAAAATGTTTTTCGACAAAAGTAGGACTACTAAATAGTATATTTCTTATCAAAATAAAAGCAAGTGATTAATGCTAATTTTGGATTTTTTATTTGTTTTTTTACAAATAAAAAACCCAAAAGAAGTTAATTAAAAATACTTACTTATTTAAGGATTGAAGAAACTACACCTGCCCCAACAGTACGACCACCTTCACGAATTGCAAAACGCATTCCATTTTCAATGGCAATTGGTTGGATAAGTTCTACTACCATTTTAACACGGTCACCAGGCATTACCATTGTTGCTTCATCCCCTTCATCAGAAATGAATGACTCAATTTTTCCTGTTACGTCTGTTGTACGTACATAGAATTGTGGACGGTATCCAGGGAAGAATGGAGTGTGACGTCCACCTTCTTCTTTTTTAAGAACATATACTTGGGCTTCAAATTTAGTATGAGGTGTAATCGTTCCTGGCTGAGCAAGTACCATTCCACGCTCAATATCTTCTTTCTGAATACCACGAAGAAGTACACCAACGTTATCACCAGCTACAGACTCTTCAAGAGTCTTTTGGAACATTTCTAAACCTGTTACTGTTGCCACACGAGTATCAACGTATCCAATAATCTCAATACTTGCTCCAACTTTTACTGTTCCACGCTCTACACGCCCAGTTGCTACTGTTCCACGTCCAGTAATTGAGAATACATCCTCAACGGCCATAAGGAAAGTCTTATCTGTTTCACGTGCTGGAGTAGGAATATAACTGTCTACGTTATCCATTAATGAGAAAATCTTGTCTACCCACTTGTCTTCCCCATCACCAATTTTAGGATTTGATGAAAGCGCTTCTAATGCAAGAAGTGCTGATCCAGCAATTACTGGAATTTCATCACCTGGGAAATCGTAACTCGAAAGTGTCTCGCGGATTTCCATGTCTACGAGTTCAAGTAATTCTTCATCGTCAACTTGGTCTTCTTTGTTTAAGAAAACAACAATATTAGGTACACCTACTTGCTTAGCAAGAAGAATGTGCTCTTTCGTTTGTGGCATTGGTCCATCAGCACCCGATACTACAAGAATTGCTCCATCCATCTGCGCTGCACCAGTAATCATATTTTTTACATAGTCGGCGTGTCCCGGACAATCTACGTGAGCGTAGTGACGAGTTGCTGTTTCATACTCTACGTGTGCAGTATTAATAGTAATACCACGTGCCTTTTCTTCAGGTGAAGAGTCAATTTCATCATACTTCTTACCAGCTGAACCACCACGAGCTGCCATTGCCATAGTAATAGCTGCTGTAAGAGTTGTCTTACCGTGGTCTACGTGTCCAATTGTTCCGATGTTTACGTGCGGTTTTGTACGCTCAAACTTTTCGCGTGCCATAATTTTAAAAATGTAAAAAACTTTTGATTTTGGCTTTGACTTTATTGTTTTTTATTATTCTTCAAAGTAATGTAATAGCCTTAAAAGACTATTACATTAACTAGAATTTTAGAAACGGAAGTGAGCAAAAGCTTTGTTCGCTTCTGCCATACGATGCGTTTCTTCACGACGGCGGATTGCTGCACCTGTATTGTTCGATGCGTCAATAATTTCTGCCGAAAGTTTTGACACCATATTACGACCAGAACGATTACGAGCCGCAATTAATAACCAACGAAGTGCTAAAGCAGTTCCACGATCAGCTTTAACTTCAAGTGGAACTTGAAGAGTTGCCCCACCTACACGGCGTGATTTAACCTCAACTTTAGGGGTAATATTCAATACTGCTTGGCGTAACACTTCAAGTGGATCTTGTGATGTTGTTTCTGCAATATTCTTCATAGCCGCATAAAAGATGTTGTAAGCAATACTTTTCTTCCCCTTCTTTAAAAGGTGACTTACTAATAAGCTTACAAGACGGCTTTGGTAAACTGGATCCGGCGCAACCGGACGTTTTTTTGCTACAGTTCGACGTGACATAACGAGAAATAATAGATAAGTTTAAGAAAACCCTTGAAAGGGGAGAGATTAGCTCTTTGGACGCTTTACTCCATACTTTGAACGACTCTGTAAACGGTCTTTTACTCCAGCTGTATCAAGTGAACCACGAACGATGTGGTAACGTACTCCAGGAAGGTCTTTTACACGACCTCCACGTACTAATACAACTGAGTGTTCTTGTAAATTGTGTCCAATACCTGGAATGTAAGCTGTAACTTCAATTCCAGTTGTTAAACGTACACGAGCTACTTTACGTAACGCCGAATTTGGTTTTTTCGGAGTAGTTGTGTAAACACGCGTACAAATCCCACGACGTTGTGGGCATGCTTTTAAAGCAGGAGACTTAGTTTTCGTCTCACATTTGATTCGTTGAGAACGAATGAGTTGTTGAATCGTAGGCATAATTGTAAAAATTATTCTTTATAAAGGAATTGTAAGAACCCAAGAATACGAGCTTGTTTAATAGCTTTAGCAAGTTGACGTTGTTCCTTCGCTGTAACACCAGTTAAGCGACGTGGAAGAATCTTACCTTGTTCCGTAATAAAACGACGTAAAAGATCAACGTTCTTGTAACTAATAATCTCTCCCGCATGAATTGGTGACGTGCGCTGACGTGTAAAGTTCATAGGTAAAAATATAAAATAATTTAAAAGTCAAAAAAATGAAAATTCTCAAGCATACTTCATAATAAAAAAAAGTGCATTTGAAAATTTAAAGTCTAAGAAGATTTTTTTATATGAATTGAACCATAAAATGGCCATAAAATCAAGGTAGTTTTCTTTTTAGAACTTTAAAAGGTTAATTTTTTATATTTTATTACCCCCAAGGGAATTCGAATCCCTGTTACTTCCGTGAAAGGGAAATGTCCTAGGCCTCTAGACGATGGGGGCATGATTAAATGAAATTGAATTTCATCTATAGTATAAGTTGTGCAAATAAAACCTGTCAATAGTTTTTTAAAAAAATGCTGGAAACAAAAATAAAGTATTGTATGAATGTGCCTTAAAGAGGACTCGAACCTCCACGCATTATGCACTAGTTCCTAAGACTAGCGTGTCTACCATTCCACCATTAAGGCAAACATACATTAACGACCTGTTGTTTGAAGCCAGTTTTGAGCTTCACTATAATTTAACGGTGCGAGACGAATTGCTTCTTTCCAATATTCTGCAGCTTTTTCAAAGAGAGTTTCAGAATCTGGGATATTTCCAGCAGCTAATGCTTGCTCCCCACGATAATGATAAATAACTGCAATATTATTTAAAGCTTGTGGTAATGACGGGTTGCGATCTAAAGCTTGGTAATAATACTCAAGTGCTTTCGTATGCTCACCATTACTGGTATGAATAAGCCCAATATTATAAAAAATAAAACTACGATCATAAGGATCCACCTCTAATCGCATTGCTTGCGCATAGTTTTGTAAAGCTTCTGCATATTCTCCTTCTGCCTGGGCCGACATCCCGTCACGATAATATACAAAGGCTTCTTTTTCATTACGAGTGGTAGGTAATACTTTTAACAAAATATCGGCAACTACCGTAAAAGTTTTATCGATAAAATTATCATTTTTTTGCGAACGTGGCATAAACTAAATTAGATTTTAAGCTATTGCAAGAAAGTAAAGACGACAAAAAAGTAGCGAAAACAAATTGATTTTGATTCCTTTTCTTTGAAATGCTAAACTATCTTTACTTTAGTAATATTATACTACAAGAATTGAAAATATACATAAATTTCAGGAGAGTAAAATGGCTCGATACCGTGGACCCCGCGTGAAAATTGTACGTCGTCTTGGAGAATTACCAGGATTAACAACAAAAATTCCAAACCGTAACTACCCAGCGGGACAACATGGACCGTCATCTGGAATGACGAAAATGTCGCAATACCGTGTACGTTTACAAGAAAAACAAAAATTACGTTATAACTACGGGGTAAGTGAAAAACAGTTACTCAGTTATGTCCGACGTGCACGACGCATGAAAGGACCAACTGGAGAGTTATTACTCCAAATGCTTGAAATGCGTCTTGATGCTGTTGTGTATCGACTTGGTTTTGCACCAACAATTCGTGCAGCACGTCAATATGTATCACACGGTTTAGTAACAGTAAATGGACAAGCTGTAACAATCCCAAGTTACCAATGTTCGGTTGGGGAAGTTATTAAAAGTAACTCCGCTCCAATCGTAGAGCATGCAAAAACATTTGGTGGTGTAGTTCCTTCACACCTTTCTGTTGATAAAAATAATGCAACAGGAAAAGTAGAACGTAATGTAACACGTTCACAAATTGGATTGACCGTTAACGAATTATTAATTATTGAGTTTTACTCACGTAAGTAATTTAATTTGCTCGCGTCCATTATGAAAAAGATTTATCACACATTCAGACGATAAATCTTTTTCATGATATAATCATAAATAGAAAAACTTTAATCTTATATTCGGGAATTTGCTGAGACAAAATAAATAGCGTTGTCTCAGCAAATTTAGTGAAGATTTAATCTTCGTGTTCTTCAAAGGGATCGCGTAATTCTTTCGAGGGTGGCCCAAAACCAATGTAAATGGAATATCCAGTTACACTAATTAATAAGCACCAAAGAAATACACCGTAAAAAAATGCAGAATTTTCCATAGGTTAAATAATTTTTTTTGTAAATTTAGTTATATTTTAAAGTAGAAAGTCAAAAAATACAAATAGATTAAACCTTTATATTATGGCAGCAAAAGATTCAAAACTTGCAGGAACTGGTAAAGTTACAGCTTTAGGAACAGCGTTACGTCCGCTTAACTCAGAGTACGGAAAAGTAGCTCCGGGTTGGGGAACAACTATTTTAATGTCTGTATTTATCGGATTATTTGCAGTATTCATTGTAATCCTTCTTGAAATCTACAACAAGTCATTAATTCTTGATAACGTAGGTGTAAACTGGCTTTCAAGTACTGGTCTTTAATTAGGTAACTTATTTTAAATAATAGCAACTAGTGACTCAATTGAGTTACTAGTTGTACCCCTTCGTCCCGAGTAGGAATCGAACCTACACGACACAACTTAGAAGGTTGGAGCCCTATCCATTAGGCTATCGGGACGTATATAAAAAAATCATAAGAAGTATTCTAAGTATAGCAACAATTGATAGAAATGAAGCCTCCTGTCGGATTTGAACCGACGACCCTCGCATTACAAATACGATGCTCTAGCCACTGAGCTAAGGAGGCATAATCACCCCCAGTATAGAAAATAGATTTGAAAGATTCAAGTTATTTTTTTTGTAAAGGGTCAGTAGACGTGTGTTTGAGAATTTGTTAGTATACTGCAGAAGCTAATAGACTTAGTATTCCTCAGTAGCTCAGTGGTAGAGCAATCGGCTGTTAACCGATTGGTCATAGGTTCAAATCCTATCTGGGGAGTTTATATGAACCCGACAATATTTTAGAATACGAAAATTATATGGTATACTAGAGGTAAATGATAAGAAAATAAATAATATTTTCTATATTTAAAAAGGAAAAAGTTATGTCAATCTTTCAGAATGGGTCAATACTGAACATAGGTACTGTCAAACAAAAAGATTTTGTTTAAAGAAGAAATTTAGCCTAATAACTTATTATGACTCAGGAAAATAACAACTCAACGAACTTAAAAACAGTTATCATTCCTTTTCACGAATTTATTGCTAATGAATTAGGAAACAACTGTATTAAACCCAATGATGAAATTCTCACAGTTTTATTAAAACGGGAAGAATGGGAAGGTCATGAGGATGGTGGAGAAACGCCAACAGAATTATCGGACCGTGTAAAAAATTGGCAACCCTACGATGCCAGAAAAGATCGTCAACAACTTACAAGAGTGGAACAAATTCAGTATCAACTCAAATACGGCGTAAAAAGTCTTCAATTAATTCTCGGTCAAGCATTCTACCGTATTTCATTAGTCAATGCTATTATGCATCGTCAATATGAGCAAGGGGTTAAAGTAACAAGTCGTGGGCGTGCCAAAAATATTCTAGGCGTAGTAAAATGGAACGCTACATATTGGCCACAATATTTAAAATATTATGGATTCTCTGGGATTTTAAATTACTGTCTTACAGTTTTAGATTACCGACGTGTATTCCAACTGAGTGTTTTTACTATCGCAATGGGTGCTGGGATTATGCGATTTGGATTAGCTCAGAAATTAACAAAAACTCAACCCACGTATGTTATTTCAGCTGAAAAATTCAGCGTACAACCAAAATCCAAAAGCGAACAAAATTTATTAATGGAAAAAGTTTTTGGAAAAAAACTGCCAAAAGCACTTGAGAACCCGATTGTCTTATACGTCGAGCCACTAGGATTAACCAATATTCAACTCCGTGACGAGGGAACAAAAGAGATTACAAATTACCCATTTATTGGACTGACACCGGAAACACTTACAACTCATCGTTCTGCACGACCAATGGTACCTACATACGAAGGCCTCGAAAAGTTTGACGCAGATTATTTAAAAGCAATTCGTGCAGCATCATACCTTATTGATCAAGAGACGTTAAAAAATGTCATCGACACTGGTACAGTTTCCAAAAACTCAATTCATTCCCCAAACTTTTTCGAGAAAGTTGATTTGAATTTTTTCGAATATGAAGAATTTGATGAGAAAACGGATAATAATCAATCTTCGGTGCAAGAATTAAGTCAATTTTTCAATCCCAAAATGATTCGAACTCTCTCAACCGAGGGAATTTCACTTGGAACACAACCAGATTGGAAAATGGCTGGACCAAAACTTCAAACAAACACTCTTGCAGTAAATGACGTCTACCCCTTAATTGACAAATATTGGTCAGAATCAAAAGCCGACCAAATCCACAAAACAAGTGCGGATTTTCAACTTGAAAATTCAGTTGGAAAATTGACCTCAGCTGCTTATAGAACAGAATCAGAATTTGATTTTAACGATTTAGAAGATTTTGATGGACTAGAAGTTGATGAATGGGATGATTTTTATTTTGATCGTAAATCATTTCGTGCCAAAACAGCTGAGAGAGAAAATGAGAAATTCAATGAATTTTTAATGCAAACGTCAATGGATGAACTTGGCCTATATAAAAATGGATTTCCATCTCTCGAACTTAAGCGTATTAATGAAAATTTAACAAAAGAGCAGTTCAAAGATTTAGAATTAATTGGAGGACTTTTACCAAGCATCTTTACTTGGTATGCATTCTATACTCTTTATCAATTCCGACTTAACTACATTTATAATGTTCGTAAAAAACCGGAACCAATCTTATATACTCGTCTTGATCACTTTGGGCGTCTTCAAAACAAGGTTAAATTGAACGAAGTAGTCGGAATTGACGGTGGTGGCGAAGCTTTTGATAAACTTTTCTCCGCACTTCAACGAGCACGTGGAATGGGCCTTTATCTGCCGACAGTATTACTGACAATTTGGGAATCGAGTTTAAGCCCTTTAATTCCTGGAGAACTTGATAATTGGTTACTTACTCAACGTAATAAAGTCCGTATGAATTTTATAAAGCATACTACCTCCAAAGTTGACTTTTTAATGCCTGAAGTCACACTTGCACAAAAAATGCTGTCTGATCCAGATAAAACGAGTGGGTATGAATCACGCTTTCATTTCTTGACTCATGCAGTTGATAGTGCAATTAATAAAATGGATGCGTTCGAAAAATCGAATTCCAAAATGCTTTCTAATTTGGAATTAACACTCCAAGAGAGCAAAACAAAAATGTCAAAGATTAGACATTTACAGGGGCTCCTTCCGATCATGAAGGTAAAAGAACTTTTTAAAGTAACTTTGAAACTGCTTCAACTTATTGAAAATGAATTATCACATAGCCCAGTAATTTCGGCATTAAAACCCGGTAGATATGGACTTAATACGTTACCAAAAGGAATGTTACTAGTAGGAGACCCAGGGAACGGCCGTAGCTTCTTAGCCCGTGCCATTGCTAGTGAAAGCCGTTTACCAGTTTTTAAAACTGAAAGTACCCGTTTTCTTGATGTAAAATTTGGAGTAATGCGTTTAATGTCATTATTTCGCCGTGTACGTGATCAAGCGCCTGGAATTTTATTTATTCGTGACATTGATCTGATCACTATTGATCGTGAACGTACAAATAGCCCAGAATTGATTCAATTAACAACTCAATTTTTAATTTGTTTCGATGGCTACTATATCGGTTCAGAAGCCCGACCAACCCAACGTAAAATCTTTACTCTCGGTTCAGTCTCGGATATTACACGTATGGACCCTGCATGTTTGCGTTCGGGCCGATTCGAGTGGGTAGTGAATTTACGTAAACCAATTTTAGGCGAGCGTAAATTTCTATTATTACAAAAAGCGTCACAAAGTCCAGTACAAATTGATGCAACTATTGCTTGGAATTATTTTGGATTAATGAGTGAAGGTTTTACAAATGCAGAAGTAGTCTCAATTGTTAATAATTCAACATTACAAGCAATCCGTAAAAATGAATTTGTGCACACAAATGAATCCTTAAATGAAGGGTTAAACAGTATTTTCCAACTTCGTTGGAACCAAACAGTGTCAAAAGCTGCGGACGAAGGTTTCTTTAATGAACTTCATTTAAGTGAAGTAATCAACTCAAATAAATTAACAGTTGATTATACAATGAATGAAAAAGAACGACCTTTTAAAACAAAATGCATGCATTTATTAACAACGGTAAAAAATTGGTCACCAAAGAACAATCCAACGGAAATCAGTAGTCTTAGAATGCAAAACATTGGGATGAGTATTCAAACACAGCCAGTTGACTATTCACAAGAATTAATTGTGGAATTACTCGATTTTATGGCTGAAGGTGCATTTATTCGCCAATTACGTCGTTGTAGTCCAGCAAATACGTTTGTCACACAAACTTCATATTCTGGGCAACTCGGAGAGCGACTTAATAAAACATTTTTAAAAGGGTGCTTAAACTACCGAATGGAAAATACACTTGCACTCATTGAAAACCCTACTCAAGGGCTTAAAACATTATCCGGAACAATTAGTTGGGAAGCTTTAAACAAAACTGCTTTAAAGGATTTACAACAACGTACTGCACTCTTTACCAGTTGGTATAAGAGTCGAATGTTCTGCCAACTTAAACCAGACCAACGTAGTTTAACGAATCGTTACGGGTATAATCCAAATTATCAGCAAACTGGGTCAAGTTCCATGAACCGATTTAAAGATCGTATTAAAGCCCGATTACGCGAATCTACTCACCAAGCACACCCGCTTTATGCAATGTCTGGTTCAATCCGTGGAACCTTTGGAAGCCGTGGGTATGAAACACGACTTCAACGTCCGCTGACTGGTCCTGTAACACAAATGAGTCAGGAATTTTTAAATATTCAGTTTAAGTAAATTTCTAAGGGTATCCCATTTTATTGGTACCCTTAGAAATTTTTATATTTAAACATCATATTGTTTTGCGATATACTGGTAGAAAGCTATAATATAAACGAGCATCGTGGATAATAATGGAACCGTTATTAGACGAGAGCTTTGAAAGAAATGTTGAGGATTTCATATGTCAGGATCTACAGGAGAACGTCCTTTTAGTGACATCGTTACTAGTATTCGTTACTGGGTAATTCACAGTGTTACAATTCCGTCACTCTTTATTGCAGGATGGCTTTTTGTAAGTACTGGTTTAGCTTACGATGTATTTGGAACACCGCGTCCAAACGAATACTTTACGGAAGAGCGTCAAGAGCTTCCTTTAATTTCAGATCGTTATGGTGCACTTGCCCAACTTGATGATCTTGTACCAAACTAAAAAATTTATTTTAATGATCGACTCAGTCTCTGAGTCAATTAAATAAATTGACAGAAACGCATCAAACCCGCATTGATGCAGCTAATTTAGCCCCATTTTTTATGTCAGTTAAAACATATCCAATTTTTACATTCCGTTGGCTTGCAGTTCACGCGTTAGCTGTTCCAACTGTGTTTTTCCTTGGGTCAATCACAGCAATGCAATTCATTCAGCGTTAATTCAGGAGAAAATTGTATGACAAACCCGAACCCAAACAAGCAAACTGTTGAGTTAAACCGTACTAGTCTTTACTGGGGTTTACTTCTCATTTTTGTACTCGCAGTTCTTTTTTCAAGCTACATCTTTAACTAATTCTGCAATTGTAGGAAACACATTTTATGTCTAACACAACAACAGGACGAATCCCATTATGGTTCGTAGGGATGGTAGGAGGACTTGCAGCGCTTGGACTCTTAGCTATCTTCTTTTATGGTTCTTACGTAGGACTTGGATCGTCACTTTAATAAGTGAAATTCATCTAATATTCTGGGCGAAGTGCAAAATCGCCCAGATAAAAATTTTGTTTTGAAAATTTTTGCCTAATTGTGAATTAATACAGATAATTTGTATTAACAATACACTAATGCCATTTGGTCATTAGCTAATCGGACCTTTTAATATGAGTAAAGTATATAACTGGTTTAACGAACGTCTTGAGATTCAATCAATTGCAGACGACGTTACAAGTAAATACGTACCGCCACACGTAAACATTTTCTACTGTTTAGGTGGAATTACCCTTACATGTTTCCTCGTTCAAGTTGCAACAGGATTCGCTATGACATTCTACTACCGCCCAACTGTAACTGAAGCATTTGCATCAGTACAATACATTATGACTGAAGTAAACTTCGGATGGCTTATCCGTTCAGTTCACCGTTGGTCAGCTAGTATGATGGTATTAATGATGATTCTTCACGTATTCCGCGTATACCTTACTGGTGGATTCAAAAAACCACGTGAGCTTACATGGGTAACTGGAGTTATTCTTTCAGTAATTACTGTATCATTTGGTGTAACTGGATACTCACTCCCTTGGGACCAAGTAGGTTACTGGGCTGTTAAAATTGTAACTGGTGTACCAGATGCAATTCCAGTAATTGGTGGTTTCGTCGTTGAACTTCTTCGTGGAAGTGTAGGAGTAGGACAACCTACTCTTACTCGTTTCTACAGTTTACACACATTTGTACTTCCGCTTCTTGCAGCAGTATTTATGCTTATGCACTTCCTCATGATTCGTAAACAAGGAATTTCAGGACCTCTTTAATGAATTAAAGGTTCAGTTCTAATTTTTTGGGGCTACTTTGAAGGTGGCCCCGAAGAAAATTCTAATTGTAATCTTTTCCCAAACTAGTTATTATACAAATAAAATCGATAAACGGGTCAGTAACTCAGTGGTAGAGTATTCGGCTTTTAACCGATTAGCCGTGGGTTCGAATCCCACCTGACCCAATTAAAAAAATTGTCAAGTTTATGCTATACTTGATACGAATAGTCTCTATTCCAGTGTTTATTTTAAATAAACGAGAATTCTTAATTTTTTTTAATTATTAATTAACTTTACTATGTCACACGCAGTAAAAATCTACGATACTTGTATTGGATGTACACAATGTGTACGTGCTTGCCCAACGGATGTTCTTGAAATGGTACCTTGGGATGGATGTAAAGCAGGGCAAATTGCTTCCGCACCACGAACAGAAGATTGTGTCGGATGTAAGCGCTGCGAAGCAGCTTGTCCGACTGATTTTTTAAGTGTACGTGTCTATCTTGGATCAGAAACAACACGTAGTATGGGACTTGCATACTAATTTCTAGTTAATTAGTTACTCTTTTACCTTTGTTAATACCTCAAATTATTAACAAAGGTAAAAATCACTTTATATAGAATTGTAATTTAAACAATTATTTTTCTACATTTCCTCAAATTAAATCAAATAAAAAATAAAATTTATATTAATTTTGCACTTTCTATCAAAATTAATTAATAATTCTTTTTTCGCTAAAATTATGACAGCTCTTAAGACAGAACAGAACATTGGTCGTATTACTCAAATTATCGGACCGGTTATTGATGCAGTATTTTCACCAAACAAAATGCCGAACATTTACAACTCCGTTGTAATTGAAGGTAAAAATGATGTTGGAGACACAATCAAATGTGTAGCAGAAGTACAACAACTCCTTGGAGATAACGTTGTTCGTGCAGTATCAATGAGTGCTACTGATGGTTTAATGCGTGGTATGACTGTAGTTGATACCGGTGCAGCACTTTCAGTACCAGTTGGTAAAAACACTCTTGGACGTATCTTCAACGTTCTTGGTGAGCCAGTAGACGAGCTTGGTGCTGTTTCTACACCAGAGGGAATGCTCCCTATTCACCGTGCTGCTCCAGCATTTGTAGATCTTGATACTAACCTTTCAATTTTTGAAACTGGAATTAAAGTAGTAGACCTTCTCGCACCATACCGTCGTGGTGGTAAAATTGGTCTCTTCGGTGGAGCTGGTGTAGGTAAAACAGTGTTAATTATGGAGCTCATCGTGCGACCCGTGTTTGCTTAAAGAAAGCAAACCAATCACTCCTAAAAAAAAGTGATTGATCTTTTAAATTGGAAAGTGAAAATCTTTACAGTTATTGTGAACTGAATCCAAGATCGTCGTTTTATGTACCTAAGGCGGTATATAAAGCGGGCAGCATGGATCTTTGGTACGAGTCTATGACTTATTTGAATAGTAAACGGAAAAGACATCTGAAAACATTTGGGAAAAGAATTCAGACAAAATTCCTTTTGCAACCTCTTTACTTATCTTTATATCGAACCATGAACCTCTTGATGATGTCATCGAGCGGGAGATATACATCAAAACTGAGAATACCCATGATACTACTCAGCGATGTCGACTGACCTATTTCAGGATTAGGGAAATAGGCACAAACTGTTTAGCAATAAACCGGTCTAAGGTAAATTTGGGGGGTCTAAGGACTTATTTAAACGATTTAAAAGAAAAGGGATGGGTTATTCGTTCCACGCGCCTTTTCAAAGGATACCCGCCTGGTATGAATGGATAACTGCAGGACTAGTCAAAATTGTAAGACGATTGCTTGTCAAAGGTGATTGTTAATAGCAAATAATCCAAAAGATTATTTAACGTGTTTTCACCGCTCTTCTTAGGGGAAACATGGACGGAAACTGACTAGGAAATATAGAAATTCGAAAATTTTATTAGACAACTTATGAACCCAACTCGAAAACAGGAATTTTCCAAATCGATTCAGGTGTGGTCCGACGTTCGATGGCATGAAGTCGAAGAACGTGTAGACCGTCTACAAAAACGAATTTTCGAGAAAAGTCGTACTATTGAAAACAAATTAGCAAAGAACGAACCTGTGAACAACGATGAAAAAGCCTTAAAGTTTTTACAACAAAAACTCACAACTAGTTTGGACGCTTGTCTTCTAGCAGTACGTCGTGTCACTCTGTTAAATAAGGGACGAAAAACGCCTGGTATCGACTCAAAAAGTAATCTAACAGCACAAGAACGCTTAGAACTTGCGCGAAATCTTAGAATTACTTCATCCGCGTCACCAATTCTTGTAAAAGAAATCCCAAAACCAGGAACAAATAAAACGCGAAAATTAGGGATTCCTATCATTAAGGATCGAGCAACCCAAATGCTTGTCAAACTGGCTCTTGAACCAGAATGGGAAGCAAAATTTGAAGCAAATTCATACGGATTCCGTCCAAAAAGAAGTTGTCATGATGCAACTTCGGCAACTTGGCATGCGCTCCGAATGAAACAAAAATTTGTTCTTGATGCAGACATCTCTGCTTGTTTTGATGAAATTGATCATGAGAAACTCTTAAAGAAACTCAATTGCTCAAAAACATTAAAAACCCAGATCAATGCATGGCTTAAAGCCGAAAAGAAAGTAAGATTTCCTAAAAGAAAAGAATGGGAAACGGTAGACCGAGGACAAACCCAAATGGGAACACCGCAGGGTGGGGTCATTTCTCCACTACTAGCTAATATTGCCCTTCACGGAATGGAAAATGCTGTTCGCAAATTCTATGTCGAAGAACTCTACCAAAAACTTGGCTTTAACTCCAGCGTACCAAAAAGCGATCGACTTCGCCATGTAAGTATTATCCGATATGCCGACGACTTTGTAATCATTCATGAATCGTATGAAGTTGTTCTCGCCTGCAAAAATTTTGTATCCGAATGGCTAAAAGACAATGCTGGACTTAGTCTCTCCGAAGCAAAAACAAACATTGTCAAATCTGGCAACGGCTTTGAATTTCTCGGTTTTCAGTTCATCTCAATTACAGAGAAAGAGACTGGAAAAACAAAATGTCGTGCAAGCGTATCCGCTAAATCCAAGAAACGATTAATTTCAAAGGTTCATAACGTATTACAAAAGCACCGAAGTTCAACTCAAGAAACCTTGATTAAAACACTTAACCCTATTATCGTGGGGTGGTGTAATTATTATTGTGTACATGAATGCAGTAAAGATTTTAAACAAGTAGAAGGAACTATTTTCAAGATGCTAGAAGCTTGGGCCAAACGTCGAGCCGCAAACGGAATGGGAGTAGAAACTGTAATGAAGAAATATTTCAATACAGAAGAAAAACACGAAGTCAAATTTCGTGGTAAAACTCACAAACCAAAGTGGATCTTTGGAACGATGTCCAAAACTCGATCTGGAACAGATAAATTCATCTTTTTAGCACTTCCTTCATGGGTAACCTCTAAACGACATTTGAAGATCAAAGGGAAAGCATCACCTTTTGATAAAGATACAGTATATTGGACCAAACGCGAATCCACTGTATCCCAAATTAAACCTTCATTGAAGAAGTTACTAGGGCGACAAAAATATACTTGTGGTATCTGCCACAAAAAGTTTTTGCCGAATACGAATGAAGCGATGGAAGTGGATCACATTATCCCAATCTCCCAAGGAGGCTCGGATAAATATGAAAACTTACAAGTCGTACATCAATCGTGTCACCTTCTGAAGACTCGTAAGGAACAAAAAGGACCTAAGGGACCCGTTCCAAAACAATAGACTTCTAACCATGAGTTTCTTATTTTAATCAACTCGAAAATCACTTAGAATGCGATTTGGGAATCCAGGAGGAGGGAATAAACTCATTCCCTTCTCAATAGCAAATCTGGATGCAGCATCTGTTTAACGAATACACATATATTCGATTGCTCTAATGAACCAAAAATACAGGGACTAACCCTCAAAATTGGCTGAAATGGGACCACAATCTCAATTCAGAAATACTTCGGGAACAATTCCGATTTTATCTATCATTAATACTTATGAGCAACGAAATGCAAAATGACCAGAACAAAAACTCAGCGGCACGACGAATTCGTGATCGCGAGAAGTTTGGGAAAATTAACGGTTTAATCCCTCCTCAGTCTGAGACACCGCAAGACAACTTTACAGAGAACGTAATTGAGACGACAATGGAGAATCTTGATCAACGTGAACACCATCAGCGACAAATGAAGGCAGTAAATAATCACCACCACCCAGTGGGAATTTTATTTCACGCTCTCACCGACGCCGCTGGACAAACCTTTGCAAAAACGCCTATGGGTAAATTAACCCAACGAATGTCTGACCTGGTAAAGAAACGTCGCGCTCGAAAACTCGAACTCGATGCAGAAAGCGAACGCAATGCTGTTGCTACAACAGTAGCTGTAACTGGGCTTTGTACACTTGCAAATCACTTTGAAAAACTTCACATCATCACGGCACCAATCATTTGGCTAGTAAACCTTATTGGCCACCTCACTGGAGCTAAAGCACCAATTATGATCACAAAAGTTGTAAGTTACAAGAAAGCTACATACTTTACTGTAGGTGTTCAAATGCAATACCAAGTTGCATTTATGGTATTCATCGCCGGAGTAAGCTGGTACATCTCATACCGCTGCATTATTTGGGTGAAGAATGCCGTATTACCAGACGAGCGTTTAAAGATGTGATCTGAGAAACCACATCTCTAATTCGTTTTAAACTCACCACTCATTCTCAATAACCTGTTTTCAACATTTTGTAATAGTTGCTTCAACTACCAACTGTCAAAGACGTGAACAGTAATTAAACAGATCCTATTTGATTTTCGAGACCTAACAGAACAATTGACACATAAATTTTCCCTCACGAGGGATCTATATTTCGGGAGCCGGATGCGGTGAAAGTCGCACGTCCGGATCTGACGCCGGGCTGATGGGGTAACCCACAGTCTAGGTTAACAACAATATTGCTAAGGCACACGGAGGAGTATCAGTTTTCGCTGGTGTAGGTGAGCGTACACGTGAAGGAAACGACCTTTACCAAGAGATGTGTGAATCTAAAGTAATTGACACAGCAAACCTTGCGAATTCGAAAGTAGCACTTGTTTATGGCCAGATGAACGAACCGCCAGGGGCACGTATGCGTGTAGGACTTACAGCATTAACAATGGCTGAGTACTTCCGTGACGTAAACAACCAAGATGTACTTCTTTTCGTAGATAACATTTTCCGTTTTGTACAAGCGGGTTCTGAAGTATCTGCACTTTTAGGACGTATGCCATCAGCAGTAGGATACCAGCCTACACTTAGTACTGAAATGGGATCACTCCAGGAGCGTATTACATCGACTAAGACTGGATCAATTACATCAATTCAAGCAGTATACGTACCTGCAGATGACCTTACTGACCCAGCTCCAGCAACAACGTTTGCTCACTTAGATGCAACAACTGTACTTTCACGTAACTTAGCAGCTAAGGGAATTTACCCAGCAGTAGATCCACTTGATTCAACTTCAACAATGCTTCAGCCATGGATTCTTGGGGATGACCACTATGACACTGCACAAGGGGTTAAGCAGACTTTACAGCGTTACAAAGAACTTCAAGATATTATTGCGATTTTAGGTCTTGATGAACTTTCTGAAGAAGACCGTTTAACTGTAGCACGTGCTCGTAAAGTAGAGCGTTTCCTTTCGCAACCATTCTTCGTAGCTGAAGTATTTACAGGTTCACCTGGTAAGTATGTAAGTCTTGCAGAGTCAATTCAAGGATTCAAGATGATCTTAGGGGGAGAGTTAGATGACCTTCCTGAGCAGGCATTCTACCTTGTAGGAAACATTGACGAAGCAGTAGAGAAGGCTGCAAAATTATAAATTTAATACAATTTAGCGCGTGCTAAATTAAATTTATAAAAAATTGTAAGAGGAAAAAACATGGAAGTTTGTATTGTAAAACCAGATAGAATCTTCTTTAAAGAAGAAGCGGACGAATTACTTCTCCCAACGAACACAGGGTACATTGGAATTCTTAAAGACCACGCACCTTTAGTAACAGGATTAGACAACGGAGTACTTGGCGTTCGCCAAGGAACGACGTGGCGTTTCCTTGCACTTCTCGGTGGTTTTGGGGTAATTAAAGAAGGACGTGTAAACATTCTTTGCCGTGACATTCAAGACGCTTCTGAAATCAACTTAGAAGAAGCTGAGCAATTAGCAGCAACAGCGAAAGAAAGTATGACTAAATCAGATTCTAAAAAAGGTTACATTGAGAACCAATTAAAATTTGATCGTGAAACTGCACGAGTAGCAGCTGCTAAAATGTACAAAGAATCAGCAGGCGGTAGTCCTGTATTCGGAAATTAATTCGTAATTTATATTTAAGGCTATAACACTTTTGTTATACCTTGAATGTTCTAAAGGGGGCTACTTAGCCCCCTTTATTATTTATACATGAATCAATATAAGTAAATCAATATTAAACAGTAGCTGTTTCAGTTGTTGCTACTAAATCAACTAAGCCATATTCACGTGCCTCACGTGCAGATAAATATTTATCTCGATCTAAATCATTGGCGATAGTCGATAATGGTTGACCAGTTAAATCCACGTACAAACGACCAATTAAACGACGGAGGCGAACAATTTCTTCTTTCTCAAGAACGACTTCAGAAGCTTGTCCTTCCATACCACCTTGTGGTTGGTGAATCATTACACGACAATGAGGTAAAGCAATACGACTTCCACGTTCTCCACCGGCTAAGATAAAAGACGCCATAGAAGCAGCAAATCCAATACCGATAGTAGTAACAGAAGCTTGCACATAATTCATAATATCAAAAACTGATAAACCAGCTGTTACTGAACCACCTGGTGAATTAATATATAAGAATAATGAACGACTAGCATCTTCAGCACTTAAATAAAGCATGATACCATTCAACTGGTTGGCTAACTCATCATCAAGTCCAGAGCCGAGGAATAACACACGCTCACGATATAAACGGTTGTACAAATCGACCCATTGAGGTGTGGATTCACCCGGTAGACGATAAGCAACCTTTGGTACTCCAATTGGCATAAATTGAAAAGTAGACTCCAATCTTTAATAAATAATAAAATTTCCCTACATACCAACGTGTTTGTAGATAATTTGACAAGAACTGGTATATAACAGCGATATATTAACACAAAATAGAATGCAAAAGATACAAAAAATTATAGCAATGAAGTAAAACAGAGTAGAGATAGACAAAATAAAAAATCTTATTATAATTAGTGTAATAAACATTATATTGAGAAGATTCATTATGGCAGTTCCAAAGCGACGACAGTCAAACGCACAATCAGGGATGCGAGCAGCCACTTGGAAGCGTAAAGCACTTGACGCGGCACGTAATGCACTTTCATTAGGAAAGTCATTAACAACTCGTAAATCAACAGGTTTCTATTATCCACCGGCTCCAGTATCAGAGAACTGGGACGATGAGGCAAAAGGATTTGGTAAAGATCTTGATGCCGCAGAATAAAATTTTATTGAATAGGTGGCAAGATCACCTATTCAATAAAGAACAAATAAATAAATGCTCTTCTCAGATAAATGTGGTAAAGTAGTAATAAAATAAAGGTGAGTTTACATTCAATATTTTTGGTTGGAGGGTAACCTTGCATATAAGTTAAAAGAAAAATAAACTATGGAAAATTCAATTGGTTTAGGATTAATTCATGGGCTTATGTATGGGATTGTACCAGTAGCACCATGGTTTGTAGCTCTTAAACGTTATCTCTTAGAGGGAAAAGAAAAAGGACAACTTGCGGTAGCTGGAACGATTGCGGGACAGGTCACTCTTTTAGCCTTAACATTTTTCGGATGGAGTCGTGTACTCTGGGTTTGGTATTATTTTGAACCGGCTTTAATTATTCTTGGAACAATGGCAGTCGTTCGCTGTGCTCTCGATTGTTGGGTGGAACAAGAATCAAGTTTACGAACTGCAGCTTTAGGTCCTGGGGCCGGACAATTAGCTAGTAAACAAGAAGGACTTTACTATTTTCTTATGAGTTTTGGGTTAATGTTTTGTAACCCACTGCATTTAGAAGGGAGTCAAACACTTCTTAGTTCTATTCCTGGAAATCGTTATGTTTATTTACTGGCTTTTACAGTGTCGTATACAGCCATTATCTTCATTTTTTGGGTAACACTTGGCTACCGTATTTTTGGTAAGGCTTACTCAGGCTTTGGTGCCCAACAAACATTAAATCGTTACCGTATTCGTCGTGTATCTGTAGGTATCGTTGCAGCATTATTTTTACAATTTGCCAACTGTACTCCGGAAGCACTCGTGATTTACCATTGGGATAGTCTCCTTGCCTATACACCGTTTGATGGTTTAAAACACCACCGAACGCGTGGGTATACATGGGAACCCTCAAGTGATAATGCATTTGAATTGAGTCGTCAAAGTTACCGTGCGACGAATAGAGCAGGTGTCAGCTTTGAACAAGGGGCAAAACGTGCAGTCCAGTTTAAACCGTTCTGGAATACTGAGACTCGTTTTGATGAGTGTAATCAAGTTCGTGAACGTGAATTATCCAATGAGGATTGGAATGCTGAAGCAACTTTTCATGAATTTCAGGGAATTAACCAAGGTGTTTTACGCGCTCGTTCGGTTCCATTTAATTTGTATATGGTACCGAATTGGGAAAAACAAGAAGATAAAAATTATTTATTAACATTACGTCAAATTCGTGACGAAATGGATGATAAGTTAATGGCAGAATCGAGTCCACAGGAACGCTTCCTCGTAAGCCCATTTACTGATAATTTGGACTATGAGGTTGACTACCAAGTGTATCCGGAACTTATGGCGGAAAAAGCACAAACAAAAACAGCTTATGCTGATATGGTGAAATTAATCCGTGGTACTAAATGGACATCAAACCATGTGCACCTTGGGGATGGTACTGATGTGGAAATGTCCTATGCTAAACTTCATGCACTTCCAGCTGAAGTCCGTTTACCATGGCACTATCCAGTAGTTAAACCGACTGAAGTGGTTGTCCAAACTTCGTCTACGGATACACCCGATTCGGTACAACTTTTAAATGATGAACTTCAAGAAAATTTACATTTTTTCAGTAATGAACCGGAGCGTATTCAGCAAAATGTGTACAAACGTTTATGGGAACATCGTACATTTGGAAAAGTGACTCCACGTATGATTGATGACAAAGTTCAAAAACGATTGGACGATCGTGTAAATATGCGTCGCGAAGCTTACGTCTCATCGAACCCTACGAAAGCTAAATAAACTTTTTTCTATTGCTTTTTTCCGCTATACTTTAGTATAGCGGGATAGAGCAGTCTGGTAGCTTGTAAGGCTCATAATCTTAAGGTCACAGGTTCAAATCCTGTTCCCGCCATTAAAAATAAAGAGTGGTTGCAGAAATATTTAAGTATTTTTGAGGAAAGTCCGAACTCTCATGAAATGATTCATAACTTAAGAAAATTAAGTGCACACTTGGTGTGTAAGGAAAGTGCCACAGAAACAAAACTTTTTTACTTTAAATGTAAATCAAAGGTGCAAATTTAAGGTATTTTTGTGAAAAGTATTTTCGGTAGACCCTTATTGAGAGCAAAAGGTAAAATTTGAATGTCATTTCTTTAAATTTATATCTTGCTAGAAAATTTCAGTAATGAAATTTCCAGATAAATAACCACACGCACAGAATTCGGCTTATACTTTATTTTTTTGTATTTCCTCTAGACAAAATACAGTCTTCTTATTATCATATGAGTAAGCGGGTGTAACTCAATGGTAGAGTGTCATCCTTCCAAGTTGAACGTTGCGTGTTCGAATCACGTCACCCGCTTTATAACTTTTTCTTGAAAAAATATAGACATTAAGCTCTATCTTTGATATTGTATTGTACAAGTGTCTGGCGGGCGTAGCCAAGTGGTAAGGCAAAGGACTGTGACTCCTTCACTCGCGGGTTCGATCCCCGTCGTTCGCCCAGAATACATAATTAGCGTTTTTTAATAAAAATATGAAAGTTCGTGCATCTGTAAAGAAAATGTGTCCTAAGTGTCGTGTTATTCGCCGTCATGGGAAAGTAATGGTAATCTGTAGTAACCCTAAGCACAAACAGCGTCAAGGATAATGTTTACTACTCAAGATTTTATTAACGTGTTCTATTAGCCCTAGGTATGTATTATTTAGGGTTAATTTTTCTCATAATAATATTGCAAACTTACCACGAATTGCCTTATTATATCTGTATAAGGGTCTATAGCTCAGTTGGTAGAGCGCCTCGTTTACACCGAGGATGTCGGCGGTTCGAGTCCGTCTAGGCCCATATTTATCCCTCTTCTTTTTTGTGAATGCCAAAAGGATGTGCTATAATTATAAATAGAAAGTCAATGAATTTAATATTATGTAAAGAGGTAGCTTATGGGATTACCGTGGTACCGTGTACACACTGTGTATAAATGACCCAGGTCGTTAATTGCAGTACACCTTATGCACACAGCATTAGTATCTGGTGGGCAGGTTCAATGGCATTATACGAATTAGCAGTATTGATCCTTCAGATCCAGTACTTAACCCAATGTGGCGTCAAGGAATGTTCGTTCTTCCGTTCATGACACGTCTTGGAGTAACAAACTCTTGGGGTGGATGGACAATTAGTGGTGAAAGTACATCTAACCCAGGACTTTGGTCTTACGAAGGTGTAGCTGCATCACACATTATTCTTTCTGGACTTCTTTTCCTTGCTGCTATTTGGCACTGGGTATTCTGGGATCTTGAGCTTTTCCGTGATCCACGAACTCAACAACCAGCTTTAGACCTTCCAAAGATTTTTGGTATTCACCTTTTCCTTTCAGGGGTTCTTTGTTTTGGATTCGGAGCATTCCACGTAACTGGACTTTTTGGTCCTGGTATTTGGGTATCTGACCCGTACGGACTTACAGGAGCAGTTGAGCCAGTTGCACCAGCATGGGGAGCTGAAGGGTTTGACCCTTACAACCCAGGTGGGATTGCTGCTCACCACATTGCTGCAGGTATCGTAGGTATCCTTGCAGGTCTTTTCCACTTAAGTGTTCGTCCGCCACAACGTCTTTATAAGGCATTACGTATGGGTAACGTTGAGACAGTACTCTCAAGTTCAATTGCAGCTGTATTCTGGGCTGCTTTTGTAGTTGGTGGAACTATGTGGTACGGGTGTGCTGCAACTCCAATCGAACTTTTCGGACCAACTCGTTATCAGTGGGATCAAGGTTTCTTCCAGCAAGAAATTGAAAAGCGTGTACAAACGAGCGTAGCTGGTGGTGCATCACTTTCTACAGCTTGGTCTACTATTCCTGAAAAGCTTGCGTTCTACGATTACATTGGAAACAACCCTGCGAAGGGTGGTCTTTTCCGTTCTGGACCAATGGATAATGGAGATGGTATTGCTGCAGGGTGGCTTGGACACGCGACTTTCACTGACAAGAACGGTCGTGAACTTTTTGTTCGCCGTATGCCAACTTTCTTTGAAACATTCCCAGTAATTCTTATTGATGGGGATGGTGTTGTACGTGCTGACGTACCATTCCGTCGTGCTGAGTCAAAGTACTCAATTGAACAAGTTGGAGTTAACGTAACTTTCTACGGTGGAGAACTTGATGGGTTAACATTCACAGATCCAGCAACTGTTAAGAAATATGCACGTCGTGCACAACTTGGAGAAGTTTTCGAGTTTGACCGTGCAACTCTTCAGTCTGATGGAGTTTTCCGTAGTAGCCCACGTGCATGGTTTACTTTTGCACACGTAAGTTTTGCTCTTCTTTTCTTCTTCGGTCACATTTGGCATGGAGCTCGTACAATTTTCCGTGATGTATTCGCTGGTATTGACCCAGATTTAGATGAACAAGTAGAGTTTGGTGCATTCCAGAAACTTGGAGATGTTACAACTCGTCGTCAAGCTGTTTAATAACTAGGAGTACTCGATTATGGAAGCTATTGTTTACACATTTTTACTTGTAGGGACTCTTGGAATTATTTTCTTCGCGATTTTCTTCCGTGAGCCACCTCGTATTGCAAAATAACTTCTAGTTTCATGAAACTATAAGTTTTGTGAGGGAGCTTGTCTCCCTCACACGGAAAATAAACTTTTTGCATTTTTGCCTTAAAATAAGAAAATTTTTATGATATTTACTTGTATACAATGGTTATAATCTTGTAAAATAATAGTAGTAGAAAACTGCGTTATAAATACATTCATATTTATAATGAAATAATCATTAATAATTAGGTAAATAGTATGACTATTGCACTTGGTAAAGTTGACGAGAAGCGTGGTTGGTTTGACAACGTTGACGACTGGCTTAAGCGTGACCGTTTCGTATTCGTAGGATGGTCTGGTATTTTATTATTCCCTTGTGCTTATTTTGCACTTGGTGGATGGCTTACTGGAACAACTTTCGTTTCATCATGGTACACACACGGATTAGCTAGTTCATACCTCGAAGGATGTAACTTCCTTACTTCAGCTGTATCTACGCCATCGAACAGTATGGCACACTCACTTCTTCTCCTTTGGGGACCTGAAGCACAAGGTGACTTCACTCGTTGGTGTCAACTCGGTGGTTTATGGACATTCGTAGCACTTCACGGAGCTTTTGGATTAATTGGATTCATGCTCCGTCAGTTTGAAATTGCTCGTGCCGTACAGATTCGTCCGTACAACGCGATCGCATTCTCTGCTCCGATTGCTGTATTCGTATCGGTATTCCTTATCTACCCTCTTGGACAATCAGGATGGTTCTTTGCACCTTCTTTTGGAGTAGCTGGAATTTTCCGTTTCATTCTTTTCTTCCAAGGGTTCCACAACTGGACACTTAACCCATTCCACATGATGGGTGTAGCTGGTGTACTCGGTGCAGCACTTCTTTGTGCTATTCACGGTGCTACTGTAGAGAACACACTTTTTGAAGATGGTGATGGTTCTAACACATTCCGTGCATTCAACCCAACTCAAGCAGAAGAAACTTATTCAATGGTTACTGCAAACCGTTTCTGGTCACAAATTTTTGGAGTAGCTTTCTCTAACAAGCGTTGGCTTCACTTCTTCATGCTCTTTGTACCGGTTACAGGATTATGGATGTCTGCACTTGGTGTAGTTGGTTTAGCGCTTAACCTCCGTGCATACGACTTCGTATCACAAGAGATTCGCGCAGCAGAAGATCCTGAGTTTGAAACATTCTACACAAAGAACATTCTTCTTAACGAAGGAATCCGTGCATGGATGGCAGCTCAAGATCAGCCTCATGAAAACCTTGTATTCCCTGAGGAGGTACTTCCACGTGGAAACGCTCTTTAATTCAACTCTTGTTGTAGGTGGTCGCGACCAAGAATCGACTGGATTCGCTTGGTGGGCGGGTAACGCTCGACTTATTAACCTTTCTGGTAAACTTTTAGGTGCACACGTTGCACACGCAGGTCTTATTGTGTTCTGGGCTGGGGCTATGAACCTTTTCGAAGTGGCTCACTTCGTACCTGAGAAACCAATGTATGAGCAAGGATTAATCCTTCTCCCACACTTAGCTGCTCTCGGTTATGGTGTTGGACCTGGTGGTGAAGTTCTTGATACATTTCCATACTTTGTATCTGGTGTTCTTCACCTCATTTCATCTGCTGTTTTAGGTTTTGGTGGTGTTTATCACTCACTTATTGGACCTGAGACTCTTGAAGAGTCATACCCATTCTTCGGGTACCTCTGGAAAGACAAGAACAAAATGACAACAATTTTAGGAATTCACCTTGTACTTCTTGGAATTGGTGCTTGGCTTCTTGTTTGGAAAGCTATGTACTTTGGTGGAGTTTATGATACATGGGCACCTGGTGGTGGTGATGTACGTGTAATTAGCTACCCAACTTACGACCCTTCAGTTATTTTCGGATACTTACTTAAGTCACCTTTCGGTGGTGATGGTTGGATTATCTCTGTAGATAACATGGAAGATGTAATTGGTGGTCACATTTGGATTGGAACTACTTTAATTATTGGTGGTTTCTTCCACATCTTCACTAAGCCATTCGCATGGGCACGTCGTGCTTTCGTATGGTCTGGAGAAGCATACCTTTCATACAGTCTTGCATCTGTGTCACTTATGGCATTTATCGCAGCTGTATTTGTATGGTTTAACAACACTGTTTACCCTTCTGAATTCTTTGGACCGACTGGACCAGAAGCTTCGCAAGCACAAGCATTTACTTTCCTTGTTCGTGACCAACGTTTAGGAGCAAATATTGCTTCTGCACAGGGACCAACTGGATTAGGTAAGTACCTTATGCGTTCGCCAACTGGAGAGATTATCTTTGGTGGTGAAACTATGCGTTTCTGGGATATGCGTGCTCCATGGGTGGAGCCACTTCGTGGACCAAACGGGCTTGATTTATCTAAGCTTAAAAACGATATTCAGCCTTGGCAAGAGCGTCGTTCAGCTGAGTACATGACTCACGCGCCTTTAGGATCACTTAACTCTGTAGGTGGTGTAGCAACTGAAATTAACTCAACTAACTTCGTAAACCCACGTAGTTGGCTTGCAACATCACACTACGTTTTAGGATTCTTCTTCTTTGTAGGGCACCTTTGGCACGCTGGTCGTGCACGTGCGGCTGCTGCTGGTTTCGAAAAAGGAATTGATCGTGACACAGAGCCAGTACTTTCAATGCGTCCGCTTGACTAA